CAATCATTTTGACTGCTTTTCGGTAATATAGGTATATACTAAGTTTCAGTCTTTTTAGTGTTAACAATTCATCTGACTAGAATCAAGAAGCCTCATCGAAGAAGGGGCAATGGGTTGATCTAAAAGTAATGACCGTGATCGATGGTCATCGAACCTGTTTAAAGATTGCGAAGAGGAATTCGATTCGAACGCTCTAGTCTAGTCGTAATTATCGTTGTATACGTACACATACACATACGTACGTGTACGTACGTATAATAACAGCAAAGGAAACGCGGGGAGAGATAAAAAGCGTTAGAGAATTAACAAGCATTAAAAATCACGAGTTCGCACACATTTATACAAGTTGAGCCCCTCATAATCTCGGCTTAATCTTTCGCAAAGTTGTTAATACCACCAGCGGGGCTTACCACTGTTAATTTAATATCCATACAACGTTAGCTCTTCGCCAACACATTGAATATATATCCGAATATCCGAATATCCCCGGGAATATCCACCGCGGGCGATAAAAAAAATCTATAAAAGCGAACGTGAAAGAGGGAGAAAGAGAGTACGACGGAGAGGAACCTACGTATATGCACGTATTATACTTTATAGAAAGCGAATCGAACGGCGAAGGAAGAGAGAACTAGAGGAACTCGCTGTTTCGTTTCCAGTTTCACTTGACGACCACCGAGATGACACTCATTTAACGAACAAACGATCGCGTTACGTATTTAAGAATGTTTGAGTCGCGAGCTGCGAAATTTGTGACTCGCAATTTCCTCGAAATTCATATTTAATTCCTCTGTTCGAGTGAATTGCAGACTTTTGCGATGGAAATATTCTGCTTTTGAAAATATCTGACGTTACAGCAGGCATGTGACCATGAAAATGGTTAGATTCCTATGAGGGAATTTCCTCGATAGACTTGGTGGCCGTTAATTTCTCGAACGAGAGTAACATCGGTGAATGAAAGGGTAAGGAATGAAGTTTACAGCGTGTCTTGAAAAAGGAACGAAGCAGTGGCTCCATTCAGTAGTTATACTAAAGAAAAGCCTTACGGCCGCGTGGAAATCCTTGGGAAGCCTCCCGGATATCCCGGAGCTTCCCACGATATCCTTGGGAAAGCCTCAGTGCTTTCCGGCTTTCCGGGTTCTTTGGAGAATTTGTATTTAATGAAGTGTCATCTACCTTAGATATTTTTGACCTAACTACGTAACATAAGCGTTGATCACACGCCTCGTTTAAATAGATCTATCGTTACGGACCCCAACATCCAACGAGTCCAGTGGCAATGTTTGGAATTTACGTACAGCCTGCAGTACATTTCACGATGTCATCTTAATTTGTATGCCATGTTCCTTTTCCGTCTCTACTCTTCTGAACGCAGTTCAAGGTTGACACTCTGTAGACATTTTCGATACAAAAACTTGAATACAGCTCGCCATTTTGTTATAACATATTTAACACGATTAATTTTACGATGTGCATCGTACATTTTTCGTGCCGTCGTTCTAGTCTTAATTCTTCCGTTCTGTATCGCACCTCTTTTTCTCCGTTTCTTTTCTTCTGTACGTGGTTTAAATTTGAGAACGAAGAGGGTTTCGGTGGATACCATAACATAACAAACATAATGATGGCGTCCGTTAGAAGAGGGTCTGCGAGGGCGAAGGCGGAGCATACGAGAGGGGATCAATATTATCTTCCTCCTCCACTTCCTCGCTCTCCCACTCTTCCGCCTCTGATAGAGGCCCTCCGTCTCTCTCTTTGCTTCCTCTCTCTCTCTCTCGCTCTTGCTACCCCCTCTTGCTCGAATTCACCCTGTTCACCTGTTTATACTCCGCCGCTCCGCCACCCTCGCCCCTCTTTCTTCTTCTTACTCCACCCTCGCGTTTCAGCGATCTCTTCACAACTTTATGCATTACACGCATACACCCTTGTATCTGTATTTGCTTCTTCGCTCTTTCCCATTTCTTGTGTATGCAACTATTTTCTCTCTTCTCGTCCTTCTTCCCTTCCGTCAGGCACTGTCCCTCTTCGATCTTCCGCCTTCATACGACGTCATACCATTATTTATCGATGATCAAAATCGCAAGAAGCCTGACGTTACGACACCTCGCGAAATCGACACTTCTAATCCGAGCTAAAGAGATATAATAGAGAATCTAAGCAGTGTAAGTTTTCCATTCGATTCTGGACGCAATAAAACCTCATCAAATCACGACCCCGACCCCTAATTCCGAAGACAGTTCGGGGGTTGAGCGTTCGGCTCAATCTACAAAAGCTTAAGGCTTATATAAACGTAATGAGGCCGTGACCAATCGAGGTTGCTCCCTCATCAATCAACCTCCTACCCTGAACGGGTCAGTTTCGTCACCCCAAGTTAGATCCCAGTACCCACCGTGCGTCGGCCGGCTCTCCACCCTCCACAGAACCGATTTTTGATCGTAAATAATGAAATTATCATTTTCGCATTACACGGACCCTTTATTACAACAAAACCGCTCTATTTTTTCATACACCTGGAAACGTTTACGTTGCAGTAGGTTAATAAACACGAAGAACTCAACTATGTGAAGTAGAAGTATTTAATTAGAATAGTGTACATGAGTGAATTTATTGAAAATAATGTAGCGTGACTGAACACGAGACCTTTTGTGAATGTACATAAATGCTAAAACAATAGACCTATGACGTCAGTACTTCGATGGTCAGTAAGGTACAGCTAGTGACAATGAAACTGAGCCAGTTTGGGCTTGTATTAGTTCCCCTAGGGGAACAAAATTCAAAACGAGTAATAAGTCTACGTTTTTGACGCGTCAAAGTTGTGTTAAAATTCAACAGTATCGATGCCAGATCGAGCATTGAAAAATAAGATGTAGACTTATTACTGGTTTTGAATTTTATCGCCCTAGGGGAAATTAACACAAGCCCAAATTGGCTCAGTTTCATTGTTACTAGCTGTACTGTAAGTTGTTAAGTATCATTTCGCGTTACTTTTGTAATCTCCAGTGGGTTCATTGTCATTTACTAACTTCCGATTGATTAAAGATCTTGGGTTTATTTTAAAACGTAAACCGCGAACAAGTCAGTCCTCAATGAGTTACGGCGTTCTTCGCAAATTGAAATAATGCAAACTGATTTAAAAGAATAGAAACGTTCCCCATCCCCATATCTTAACTGCAATAATCCTTAACAGGTCCGCCACCCCTAAACTCATTTCACCCCCGACTCACTTAGATCGTCTTTTCTCCGTCACGTATGGTTCTATTCCAACACCCCAAAGGAACCCGACAGCCACGTAGATATTACACGGGGGTGATTTGGCGAGTTAAATGGCACTAAGCAAATCGGATTAGAGGGGATGAATTTTCTCTGCGCGTGATACAAGTTTAGATACGTTTATATTTATTGCCGGCTTACTCCTCGTCTCGCATCATTTTTATTCCTTGAATCTATACATTTCTAAGAAACGTGACGAAACAGGGTCGCCAGGGGGTAGAGAAGTTCTTGGGAAGACCGAAGTTTAAGTGAGTCTCGAGAGTCGATAAACTTGTACGCCATTAAAATTCTATTCCACTGCTTCGGTTTTAATGTCATGAAAGTCGTTGAAGACGAATCGAAGATGATGGAAGACAAAGTGTTTTCCTTTTTCCTTCCATCGTTTAAGAATGGCGCTCTCGAACACGTGACAACTATATTTGGAATTTTTTAAGAAAGTTTCGTTCGCGACACATCATTGGGTTTGGCAAAGAACAGCCTCCGGACGAACCCCGTAAGCCAATGGGGTCGCAAGAGGATCGTAAGGGGGAGGAAAGCGGGTGAAGTTGATGGGAAGACGCCTGGGTGACTCGAGAATCAATAAACTCTCGGGAAGATGCGCGAGAGTCGTTTCCGTTTCCCTTTTCGTGAAGAATGGCCGCGCCCATAAACCAGAAACAGTTCTAAAGCATTCTACCAGCGGTACATAACATCGAACGTTCATCTAATTCTCCGCGGATGAAAGATCGGAGAAAAGATCGTGTAAGCATTCGTAAATGCATCAGAGGATTTCATCAAATCTTCCGATTGAGCAGTGATCGCTTTCACAATTTAAGTATAAATTCAACATAAAATTATGTTGGTAATTTATCAAGACATGTAAAAAATAAGGGTATACTTTGCGACAGAGTAAGGGTTCCCTATTTAGCTATTTTTGCTGTATTGTGCTGCAAGTTTACATTGATTTCATGATTTTCCAGATTTCATCGAGTATAGGGACTAGACAACTAGGTTTATTTGGATTTATCTAAAATCACTAATACAACTAAAAAGAGAACTTGACGAATTTCATTGATTTCATGACTTTTTCGAACTGGTTTTCACAGGAACGGATATTATTATTTTCTAAAATAAAATTAAATATATTAACAGGAGAATGTTTCATACGACGTGAACCATGCTTCTTAATTTTTCGATCGTCGAATAGAATTTTGAAAAATCCCGATTGCCGACGACGTTATTCTTCATTAGACGAATCTTGCACCCTTCCCTCAACGATTATGATAATTTTTCGCGTTCCACCCTCGCTCATCGATCTTCCACACTCTCCCCCATCGATTCAACCTCAAAACCACCCCTCCAGCTCCTAATTTCACCCTGAAACCGCCCCTTCGCACCGGAAACCCGACATTCACGGAAGAGCGACCATTATCCGGGTGCGCTCACCCGGATAATTGCCAGGGATGGCTCCTTGGGGTTTCAACGTCCAAAATGAAAACGACTTCATCTTTTACCGTCGTTCATAGAAAGAACATAGAAATTGGACAAACCAAAGATCGTTAAAACAAACAAAACGACAATGAAACTTCGTAATGCTTTTAAACGGTGGCCAGTTATGTGGAACGCATGTTACGCGTGTCGATCCGATCTATGAAGACTATCGATTCGTCTTGTTTCAGGTGTGGTTCAAGAACCGTCGCGCGAAGTGGCGGAAGCAGACGAGGAACGCGAACGCAGCCGCGGACTCCGTCGACTTCAAGCCAAATTTCGGCGCAGGCTTGAACACGTTCATAGGCCAATCGTTCGCGGATACGGAATCGTTGTACACGAGCTATGGTTACAACAGTTGGGCCAGCAAAGTCCCGTCGCCGTTGACGACCAAGAACTTTCCCTGGGTGAACTCTCTGCCCCTGACCCACAGCCAGATGAGCCCGGTGAACTGTTTCAACCCTACCACGTCGACGAACCACATGGGCCATCAAGGAGCGATAATCCCGATGAGCGGGACCACGGGCCAGATAAATTCGTCCGGCAGCGGCGGTGCGTGCCCTTACGGCGGACCTCCGGGGCCTCACGCGCCTTACGGGCCGCCCGTCTATCCGCACCATCACTACAGGACGGAGAACTGCACGATGATGGCCTCGAACAACTACAGAGACAGCATAGCCTCGTTGAGGTTAAAGGCAAGTTTGAACACGAGCCCGTTTGGGACTCCGGTCTCAGGACCGGCGAGTCCCGTTGGCTCCAGGGCGCCGTCGGTCGGATCGTTGAGCGCTTGCCAGTACGCGATAGAGGCTAGTCAGAATTCGCCAAACAGCGTAGAAGCGAGAGCGCAGGTCTGAGTGATCGCGTATTAACTCGCGTTACCCTCCCGAAAAGTCTAATACTCAATAAAATAAATGATAGAGAGAGAAAGAGAGAGATAAAGAGAAGCATAAGATTACTTCTTGTACGGTTACCACGTCCCCGAACTGTTTCTTTGAGACGCGTATTAGAACGTGTTCGATGCCAACATTGAATGCGTGTATTCACCCTAAATACTCGATGCAGGTGTTCAATATTAATATTGTATGCATGGTTACTTTCATTTACCATTATCACTGGGTACGTTCAATATTAATACTGATCGTGGACCTTATTCTTATTCGTTTGCAATATCCGCGCATCTGCATTTACGGGGTCTGTATAATTATATGATATCGTATGGGATTATCGTGTATCACGTTCATATAATACGTCTCGTATAGTGTATATTTCAAATTACATGTACATACTGTTGTACATAACGACGCATTGTATATATGTAGTACTCGTATGTACATGCATACTCGTAGCGACGTACATCGATTTCTCGATATAACTTCAAATTTAAACGAAACAATTACTCATTACGTTCGGTAGTAGGGCAGTTATTTTTTAGAAAACTGTATGAGCAACAGCGCACTCTACAATTAGAGACTACCGAACGTAATCACGATTATCAATCCGTTTCAGATTAATCGAATATCGATAGTCGCGATAGCTTTTCGTGACCGATTAGGAAAGAAACCGTAAAATGACCGCCCAATGTTTCAACCCGTCTTTCCATTGAAATCCACATTCGCCTTCTTTGTTTTACATTTGTACTTATATCGAGAAAACGCTACTATAGTCACTTTTACTGAGATCGACAAGCCCGAGACTTCTGTCGAACGTTTCAACCGCACAACGAATCGCACGGACCTCCAGAGGTACCAATTCCTGCGAACGGGCTGAATATGTGTGCAGGACGTCTACGACTCCTACTGGACATGATTCGTACCACGAAAACGACGTTAACCTTTCAGGACCTGTTCGAAACGCAGTCTGTTTTTGGAACGAGTCGAAAAGTCTGTGCAAGTCCGCTGTAAATGCAACAGAGGCTAGTCAGAGTTCACCAAATAATTGTAGAAACGAGAACGTTAAGATTACTACAGTTCCAAAGTATAATACTCAATAACTATATTAGATAAAGAGCCCCTGTTACGTCGTTAATAGATCCCGGGAATGTTGTTCGGATTCGAATACCTGCGCGTTATCGATATTGAATGCGCGTACTCAATATTAATATACAATATGTACGGTGTTAATATTGAATATGTGTTCAATACTAAAATTGAATGCCATTATTGGGTATTAATATTGTATATAAATAATGTAAATAATATAAATAAACAAGTAGGTACTCGGGTTTCGAGTTTCGTTTTTAATGTATATATACTTGGAATTTTTCAAGGGATAATCGGTCGAGGTTAGATCGACACGACTAAAAGTATAGGTCGATCAAAAATTAGAGAACGACCGTCGGTATACTATCTAAAGTGCAATACGTGTAGCCGTGTACATAACTGCTATATTTATTTTACGCGCTGATTTTCCGATTGATTTATTGTTACGACATACGCATGTATGTATATTATATGGCGACGAGAGCTTCCCGTCCTTCTCTCATACCCCCCACGATCACGCGAATTAATAATTTATTCGATCACCTCTTTCCAACGATAGCAGCAACGGTAAATAGTCGTCCGCCATAACGATAGATATTAGTTACCTAATTAGCGTAAGTAACCAAAGCGATCAGCGCGCGTTCCTTTTCATACATGTGTATAATAAAAAAAGGAATAAAGAACGATGACGCGCGTAATAGCGATAAGAGTATAACGTGTAATGTATATGTATAAACAGTGAAGAGATAAATAAATGATATAAGTTTTTTCCCTTTGAGCGAACGAATATTTTGTATGAAAGCGTCGTACGAATTACGGTTAAACATTAATTCCGACTACCCGCACGTTAATTATCTATAAATATGTATACATATCCTATCGATAGTGGTTGTAAATGTATATCTATTTAACATAGCGAATCAGATTACCAACACGTATGTTTTTCAATTCGCCCTGATTCACTCAGTAAACGTGTAGGTATAATTGCGTTCCTATTTGGGCGAATAACTGTACGATAATTGAACGACTAACTGATCGCTAATTAATCGATTGTAAACAATAATAAGTTGTACGATAATTGAGACGATAATTGATTAAAGGACTCCGTTTGTAATCTAGTCACGAATAAACAATTGATTAATTAATTCCTACAGAGTCCTGGTGGTACACATCATTTACATCGCGTCCCACGTCTATCGTCATTCTCCAAATGAACTGTTCTAACAGGCTTCAGGATTCTTTTGTTCTCCACTGTTCTATTGTACAACTCCGATCGTCCCTCTTCTCTGCTATAATTTTTCACTTTCTTCGATTGACCGTTCGATTTTAAGGATGTTTAGCCAGATACTTAAACTTGTTGCCAGATACTTGAATTTGTTTTTATAGATTCCTATTACTATTATAAAGCTAGCTGTAAAATTTTAAATCAATTCATGGGTTTTTGAAAAATTATAGTGACTNGGGGTATCCCTTCAGATTTTGCGAAATTTTCGTTTTTTGCCAATAGCTCCCAAACCGTTGGAGATACAGAAAAATTGCATTAGATCTTTCTTGTAGAGGGCGACGAGATCTACAATTTCCATATAAAAGTTTTTCGCTAGAGTCAATAGTTTACGAGTAATTTGCAAAAAACTGTTTTTTCATTTTTCGTTAATAACTCGTTAAGTATTGACGCTAGCGAAAAACTTTTATATGGAAATTGTAGATCTCTTCGCCCTCTACAAGAAACGTCATATGCAATTTTTCCGTAAGTCCAACGGTTTAGGAGTAATTGAGGAAAAACGAAATTTTTGGTCAAAAGTTCGCTGTTTCGACGATGGAATAGTCGAATTTTATCAGTACCCATAAAGTGCCAATTAATCACGCTTAACTTGTTAAATACTCAAGTTAGAAGAAAAATGCATAGAAAAATGCTTTCTTGTCATATCCTTTGATGTCAGTGCTTACAACTTCTGTATAAAAAGCTTCTCGCCAGCGTCAATAATTAATTGGATATTTCCTTGTATACTTTTTAGCACATATCTATTTATTATTAGCATTGTTCTTCCGACGTCTAATTCCTTTCTAATTATAGGAAATGCGTTTTTCTAAAAAACAAACTTTTGTGATTGACTGTATAGCCAATGCATCCTTAAGCACCAGGAATCGAAACAAACGAACTCCATACGAACTCTTTCCAAACCCTTTCCAGGACCTACGTTACATCGACCTGTTCGTGTCTGATGCTCAGAAGCCAATGAATCCTTGAATCGATGATTGGGCCATTTACCAGACAGTTACGGGCAACATCCTGAATCTACTTACACGCATAACCGAGCGTGTAACGTAACGTTTTAGGGCATAAGGCGATAAATTATGCACCCTCCCTTAGCCGGGAGGGTGGCGCAGGTCCCGGCTATACACGTATATACAGCGCGGTTTCCAACCCCTAAACTAAACTAAACGTATACATATCACGAGGATCGGTAATGGCGCGAGACGGGGCCAAGGACCAACGTACATACGTATGTATGAGAAGACGCCTGTGCGCGTGTACGTGTCTAAGTTATTACGCTCCGTATGTTTCCTATTATTACACGTATACGTAATACGTGATCTAGTATCTGATAAACGTACACCACGGAATATTACACGTTTCGTATAAATGAACAGGTTGTCACGCGTTCTGCACAAATGCGAATACAAGTCACAGATAGTAATCCATAAAACTATCTTCTTGTACTACGTACAGTGACAACAAATTTAACGACGGTCTGAACATAGCCTCAACGAAATTCGAGTTAACAATTAAATTACGTCGAGTTAAACCGGCAGATTCGACTTATTTCTTTTCTATCTCGTGGAAATCCACAAAGGTGTTCTCGTCGGGTCGTAAAACAATAATTTTTAACGATTCCGTCGTTTGAAGAAGATAAAGCGACGGCAATTAATAAAATCGTTTTAGAGTCCCAAGGAAACGTTGCGAGTGAAGCTTGTCTCAGATGTTAACGATTTTACGATCTTCTCGGGTAATAAAGATTAAGGTAGTAAAGATAATAAAGATAACAACAATTTGGCTCGAATCGTCTACGTATATTGTGCAGACAGAAGGTTCGATCGGACGATCTTCGTTGAGGAACGTCACTACTAACTGTATCTGTACATGCATACATATGTACTGCAGATAATACATACTGGACTGCAGATTTTTATGCAAATCAACAGGCGCAAGTAAATATTTATTCCCACGAGAAGTAAGTATACATTTGTTTCTATTTCTATAGCAAAAGAATTCGGGACTACTCAACTAAAGTGAACCGAATCCTCATATACGTATCACGATTTCCACTCACGATGATTGCGACTCTAAAAAAAGACTTTCAACCGTATTAAAAGGGGGGAACAATGGNGGGTATCCCTTCAGATTTTGCGAAATTTTCGTTTTTTGCCAATAGCTCCCAAACCGTTGGAGATACAGAAAAATTGCATTAGATCTTTCTTGTAGAGGGCGACGAGATCTACAATTTCCATATAAAAGTTTTTCGCTAGAGTCAATAGTTTACGAGTAATTTGCAAAAAACTGTTTTTTCATTTTTCGTTAATAACTCGTTAAGTATTGACGCTAGCGAAAAACTTTTATATGGAAATTGTAGATCTCTTCGCCCTCTACAAGAAACGTCATATGCAATTTTTCCGTAAGTCCAACGGTTTAGGAGTAATTGAGGAAAAACGAAATTTTTGGTCAAAAGTTCGCTGTTTCGACGATGGAATAGTCGAATTTTATCAGTACCCATAAAGTGCCAATTAATCACGCTTAACTTGTTAAATACTCAAGTTAGAAGAAAAATGCATAGAAAAATGCTTTCTTGTCATATCCTTTGATGTCAGTGCTTACAACTTCTGTATAAAAAGCTTCTCGCCAGCGTCAATAATTAATTGGATATTTCCTTGTATACTTTTTAGCACATATCTATTTATTATTAGCATTGTTCTTCCGACGTCTAATTCCTTTCTAATTATAGGAAATGCGTTTTTCTAAAAAACAAACTTTTGTGATTGACTGTATAGCCAATGCATCCTTAAGCACCAGGAATCGAAACAAACGAACTCCATACGAACTCTTTCCAAACCCTTTCCAGGACCTACGTTACATCGACCTGTTCGTGTCTGATGCTCAGAAGCCAATGAATCCTTGAATCGATGATTGGGCCATTTACCAGACAGTTACGGGCAACATCCTGAATCTACTTACACGCATAACCGAGCGTGTAACGTAACGTTTTAGGGCATAAGGCGATAAATTATGCACCCTCCCTTAGCCGGGAGGGTGGCGCAGGTCCCGGCTATACACGTATATACAGCGCGGTTTCCAACCCCTAAACTAAACTAAACGTATACATATCACGAGGATCGGTAATGGCGCGAGACGGGGCCAAGGACCAACGTACATACGTATGTATGAGAAGACGCCTGTGCGCGTGTACGTGTCTAAGTTATTACGCTCCGTATGTTTCCTATTATTACACGTATACGTAATACGTGATCTAGTATCTGATAAACGTACACCACGGAATATTACACGTTTCGTATAAATGAACAGGTTGTCACGCGTTCTGCACAAATGCGAATACAAGTCACAGATAGTAATCCATAAAACTATCTTCTTGTACTACGTACAGTGACAACAAATTTAACGACGGTCTGAACATAGCCTCAACGAAATTCGAGTTAACAATTAAATTACGTCGAGTTAAACCGGCAGATTCGACTTATTTCTTTTCTATCTCGTGGAAATCCACAAAGGTGTTCTCGTCGGGTCGTAAAACAATAATTTTTAACGATTCCGTCGTTTGAAGAAGATAAAGCGACGGCAATTAATAAAATCGTTTTAGAGTCCCAAGGAAACGTTGCGAGTGAAGCTTGTCTCAGATGTTAACGATTTTACGATCTTCTCGGGTAATAAAGATTAAGGTAGTAAAGATAATAAAGATAACAACAATTTGGCTCGAATCGTCTACGTATATTGTGCAGACAGAAGGTTCGATCGGACGATCTTCGTTGAGGAACGTCACTACTAACTGTATCTGTACATGCATACATATGTACTGCAGATAATACATACTGGACTGCAGATTTTTATGCAAATCAACAGGCGCAAGTAAATATTTATTCCCACGAGAAGTAAGTATACATTTGTTTCTATTTCTATAGCAAAAGAATTCGGGACTACTCAACTAAAGTGAACCGAATCCTCATATACGTATCACGATTTCCACTCACGATGATTGCGACTCTAAAAAAAGACTTTCAACCGTATTAAAAGGGGGGAACAATGGTGATTGCTATTGGAACGTCCGAGGCGAAAGAATTTTGAACGGAGACAATAAAAACCAATCGAATTATTTATATCGTTAATATTTAATTTTTTCAGCGGATCATAGAAAAAACGAAAGATATAGAATACTCTGGCGCTGCCTATTTTTAGAAAAAAATACATGCGATTACGTTTCGTAAAACGTATTTCGTGAAAAAATAAAATGATGATAATAAATGCATTGCGAGCGCAACTTTTGGAATGTAAATTTTGCTGTAATTTTTTTTAAAACTTTAACCGGAGCAGTGCCGTACCTCGGCCCAATGGCGAGACTCGCCCCGTATATATTGGAAGGGGTTGGAAGAGAATAGAGAGGGTTGCTTGGAGACCGAAGCGTGGAAGACGCCATCTTTGAGGGTCGAGGGTGGGCCACGGAGGCCACTAATGGGCTAATGAATTTAATGGAGGTCTTGTCCTCCTCCTATTTAAGTTAAAGAGTGCCTCTGAAGAGGAAACTACACGGTGGAAGTAACCGTGTACGTATACGTACATAGACAGTATAAGGGAAGCAAGTCATTTAAAACGAAGGGAAAGGGTGGAGATCGAAATTAAGTAGGAGAATCGAGGAGAGGGATCATCGACTGCAGAAGAGAACTAAATATAACAAATTTTTTAAAAATACAACAGTCATCTGATCTGTGTTAAAACGAGAATAGACCAGGACCAAGTATCTGCGAGATGTTAATCGGCTTATTGATAACGATTGCGGACGTCAAACAGCACAGATAAAGGAAGAAAGATATTAAATAGATACGGAAATTAAACACATTGTTATACTCGCGTACATGTTTAATATGTTTCGATTGATTTTATTTAATTTGATCCGACACGATTTTACTAAAATATTTGCCCAGCACTTGGGTCACGTGTGTGCTTACACATAACTTGCAGAAATTTCATTTCTTATCACCGTTCGATCCAGCTGTACAGTCGTGTTAGTTAATAATTTCATTATTGATTCTAAACTTGGTTGAAAGAAGATCTTGTTGAAAATGATCCTATTGACCGTAGTAGACCTCAATTAACGAGAATGTACAGGACCAAGGGACACGAAATAAATGTGGATGCTCGAAACGAACAAATCGGTGAGTCACTATGGTGTATGATTCATCGCGTTCCTAGCTTTTGTTTTATCGTTATTCGAGGAGAGTCGCTAGCACCTGTTCTTCAGTTCAGTTGAGCGGAGGATGGAACGCCTTTGAAGCGTTCGTTTGTAAGGTGGAGGAACGTAAAAGGGAACAGGAGTATGTAATCCCCTCGCTGGGTAGCGAGACGGCCACTAAGCCCCCTTCGGCCCATGATTTAGATGCTCCGAGGAGTATATTTTAAGAGTACCGCTCGCCCCCGAAAACTAAAACAGGACCAGTAACAGAGAAACGTACAAATCTAAGCGAATGTCACGAGCCACGCGTTCCGTTTGTTTCTGATTTCTTAATCCCACCAAAACGAGATCTTAAATAGCGGCTACTGCGGTAGAACGACTAAAGTATAGCGAACTCCTCTGACGCAAGTATAAACCTGGCTGAGATCAACACTGAGGAATTTGTTGAAAACTGTGATTTATACGTCGATCATTCACGTAACGATCGCAATTGCTAATCGTGATGTCATTGTTATCGACCTACGTTCGTGTACGTTCATCGGTTGAAAACATTTCACCGAAGGTGCGCGCGGGAGTGTCTCCTGTATTGTGAAAGATTGACAAATCTCGTTTTATTTTGACAATGTCACAGGAATAAAGACGTCTTCGAACGTCCGGAAGGAAAGATGGAGGAAAATAAAGGAAAGCAGCGGTAATCCACACCTCAGCTCCGGCAAACACCCCCTAGTCCCGAGGTCTTACCGAGGATTCCGGTCAATGTTTATTGAGTCTCTGCGCGCGCGCGCGCGTGCTCATCACGTACGTTCACGCTTCCTTATTCTCTGTCTCTATACGTATGTACACAATTCCATACCATCATTTTCTTCTCTCTTTCCATCTCACTTCAACTTATTAACTCCCATTTCGTTTCACCTCATAGGGTTTCGTCTCCTTTTTTTTTCATCTTCCGTCAGTCACGTTTCGACTCTTTTCGTTTCAAGTACGAACATTGTTGGGATGTTCGCCGATTTAGATTTAAACAATTGAAACTGCTCGAAGGAGAGAACAGTTTTAAAAGCAAATTTCTTAAAAGTTTAAAAGAAGGCATTTTTTTAAGTCATCGAGGAACGCCAAAACGAAAGGATTTCACTTTTTTAAATGACCGCGGTAATGCGTTTGTAGTTTACGTGAACTCGCAACAGTTTGAAGATTAACAATTTTTCGGTGAAGCGTACAAAACTTTGGACGCGTAGCGTGTATACGTCGTACGTATACTTTCATCTCTTTTCATTTTCTCTGATCTTATATACCTAGTTTCATCTCTTTTTAGCTTATCTAGTCTTATCTCGTTTTACGTGACTCGTTTCATCTTATGTACTTACTCTCATCTAGTTCTATGCGATTAAGTCTCATCTCATTTGAACCAACCCTTTCTTCTATTATTTCCGTCCCCCTTTCCCTTTATTTTTATTACCTTACCACATATATAGGTCCTTAATGCTCGCTGCTGATTTTCATTTATTTTCCACCCTCTTTCTTTAATTACATTTTACCGACTCCTCCTTCTGTAGTTTACTTTTGATTCAATATTTATACATACGTCTTATTCGTATACAATTTTGCACTTTAGAACATCTTGAAAACTTTTTCAAAGCTCCTCAAAAAACCCATTCGGAAATTATTAAGAAACCCTTTGAAGAATTATTGGGCTCTTACTTTCATTTTTCCCTCCTTTGGGTAACGATACGTTCAACCTTTAGATCCATTTTTTACCCAAAAGTACGGAGAAGGTAGGAACGAATTTACGCGCTACTTAATCGCAACCCTCAATTAAGGGAAGAAACAGTAGATTCAAATATCTGCTGTCTCTTTACCAACTTATATTAAACGTGCTTTTTGTTTTTAAAGGTTTGGATATGTCGTTACAGTAACTACAAACCTATCTTAAATTTGACTCAAAAAAGGCTATACCAAAGGTGGGGAACCTTTTTACCACTAGAGGACACATTTATGTTAGGCAGTAATAAAGAAGGCTGCTATCATTTTTTATATTTCACTGTTGGCATTTTCATTTGTTAAGCATATATTCATCCAGATCTTTAAATTTTAATAAAACCTACTTATTTAAATACCACCTCAAGTAAAAATGATATTAGCAGAAGAATTTTTACATACTTTATGAAGGAACACAATAAAAAAATAACAATATTAAATTATATATAACTTAATATTACCGATTATTCGTAGAATAAGGCGAGCATAGTGACAAAGCAGAAATTGGGTGACTCTGTAGTTGGGAAATTATATAAACATAATTTCTGAATGCACAATCGTTGATAGTTTCCCTCTTCCAAGGGTGCATACAATACCCGTGGGTCTCTTCAGCAGTAACTTCTTCTTTCTTCGGGCGATTTTGCCCCAGTTGGAAGCACGCGTAGACCGGGGATCCGAAAATCACGGGTCTATGCAACCGTGCTTCTTGACCTCGGAAACGCGAGAATAGTACCTACCTACTTACGTGCTAACGGGCGCACCAGAAGTCGACTACCTGCCTATCTGACCCTCCTATGGTTACATTTATAGACATTTGTAGAGTATTTAAGAAAGGCAAAACAGACAACAGACTCATCCGGTACGACGGTACGTACGGGCTCTCATCTGCTCGGATGCAGGGGCCCTGCGGGAGTCGTCCCGGGACGACTCCACATCCGAGTTCATCATACAAACAGATTCACACTCTCAAGTTGCACCTGGGCACGTGAGCAAGATCCTGGCAAGTAAACACAGAATGAGAGCCTGAAAACCCTGATCTAAAAAATGCATGATTAGAATTTTGCACATTGTTAGTCAAAATGATTCTACTTTTATTTCGTTTAATCAACTTTAAAAGACGCTAGACGTAAAACATGAACAGAACTTTATTTAATTAGAAAGAAAGACTCTCAGCAAATCGAGTTATTTCCAGAAGCAAGCAAAGACCTTAATTCAATTGAAACTGAATTAGGAACTCTCAAGATTAATTATGCTCAGAACAATAAATAGCAATTTAAATATTCTACGAGAAACCCTTCATGTCAAACTTGAAAATAATTTTCATATTGGACTTTCATACGCTTTGACTTTGAAGTCTACTCCTGATGACTTCTTGTACATGAAATCTAATACATTTCTTTAAGTGATTGATCAAATCTAGATTTTACTGTCACGAACGCTACTGCAATATATCTTGAGAATATTGCACCTTTATTACCGGAACATGATGACTGATACATAATTTCGTATCATCGTTACGTATCGCGAAATCGGAGAAAGAAAAGATAGTTAATAACGATTTTGTACTCCAAGGTTGGAATAAAATACAACAGTTCTTAAGTTGAAACTCCAGGAACTTTTTAAACGGTGTAACTCTACACACAAGTACGCCGTACAGAAATCTGCCTGATGGTATAAGTTGGCTTGTCCTTGTAACTAGTTAGTATGAGTAATCGGGGTCTAATAGTCAAAACAGGATAGGAGAGAGAGTATTTGGGATAGGATAAGTAAACGTGGTTTTAGGTAGATTTAGGATTGTTTGTTACTGAGTAAAACTATATCAACAGTGATACTTACCATTTAGTATTCTAAAATCAAATCTGAGAATTTGTCATTACACTTTACACTTCATCACACTTGACACGAAGTCGGAGGACATCTGACTTCACAACTAAACTCTACGTGGTCACGTAAAAGCGTATTGACCATGCAATTACTAATAGACTGAAACTATATCTAGCTTGTAGACTGTAGCTAGCTATAAAAAAACTTGTTATTCTTACATGGCTGATTCTTATTGTAAAAGTTTCCTTTTGTATATTCAAGTTTAAATTGTCTTATCTGCCAGATCGATCCCGTGGTTTAAATATTAAAAATTTTATTTATAATTATGAAAATAGTTTTTACTTATTCTTAAGAAAGGCGGAAAATTGTTGGCAGACAGTTTGCTAGTGGCGAAAGTGGTTTTGAATTAAAAAATTCATCACATACATTTATATATTAAAAAAGCCATATACAAAATGAGAGAAAAAAAAACATGACTAAAATCGTGGCAAACAGTTATCAAAAGCGCGCTGTTGCTCGAACGCTTTCAGAAAACACTCGCCGCGTTTTCAATTTAAGTACTAGCTGAAAGCGCTCGAGCAACAGCGCGCTTTTGATAACTATCTGCCACGGTTTTAGTCGCAATTTTTATAACATTCAATCAATGCATGTATATTTTGCATGTGTGTACAACAATTTTACAATAGAAATCAGCCATGTAGCGATGACAAGCTCAGTTTATGTAACCAGCTCTTAGACTATAAGTTCTTACTAACTACATTGAAAAATACTTATGTTTCTCAATAATATTTGTACTCAATATCGTGCTCATTAATATGATATATATCGCGAGTACAAGAAGCCCTGACCTGAGCTGATACATCACATGATACAATATAAAATTTTTAATATTCCGGAGCATTTATAATAATATTTAAATGCTCAGGGTCATTATGCTCGTCAAACAAATATAAAATACAACCAGTCACCCATGCTATTCCAGACCTTTCGTCCAGGCATTATGGTGTGACTGGAGGAATTTAAAAGTGTGACTCACTGCGATAAGAACCTTTATCAATGTTCTGTCCACTTCTGGCTAAAAAATCGTGGGCTGCCAGGTACCAGGGACCAAAAGTTGTGATGCCAGGTACCAGCTACCAAAAGTGGAGGAATGCCATAGAAATCAACCACCAGCCAATCAGAAAAGAAGAATAAAGATGAAAACTGTAACAGATTAAAAAGAAAATAAACATTATGATTTATTGTTAGTCTTATAGAGCTATTTAATCATTTTTCGAATTTCTATTATTCTATTTCAAAGAACAAAGCTTTAATCAAGTTTATTAAATGATTGAACTGGTGAAAATAGAAAAGCAAAGTTATTTGGAATAAAAAATGCGAAGATACTTACACTGAACTCTCGACGAGTATCACGTGGCTCTTCTATTTTTTATTCTTCATGCGAGACTTCATTCTAATCACGACACTAATCAAAATTAAGTGTAACTTCGCAATTAAATATATCAAGAGTTAGAAATAGTGAATTAGAAAAAGATATGTTTCAAATAAAAATTGAAAATCGGAGCAAACACTGATTCTACTGACCGCATTGCGCGCGGCCACTAAATAATACCCTTGTAGCAGCCAGGATAAAAATTTCTGGGACAAACAAAATAGGAGAGATTGTTACACAATGTCTATTAAATTTAATATTATAAAATATAAAAGTTTAGAATAAAAAAGACGAAGAAACGAGATTATAATGAATGTCCAAGCTGAACTGCTTGAACGTTCGCACTTTACTGATCGAGAAAACGACGCTGAACTAGACGAGAATGTGGCGGGATCGACAGTTACGAAATTTCGAAATTATATGGAAGGAAATCTGGGAAATAGCAAAAAAAAGTCTCTAATCATCACGATTCTTAAAATCTAGTACACCAAAAGCAGAAAAATCATATCATTTACGTGTTTTACCATTCTCTGATGTAGTCGAAGCCAAAGTGACGCCAACCTCACAGCGGAGCACATAGTTCTTAATTATGATTATTCGCATAGTAATATGTTAACGTTGACACTTTTTAACGATCGGAGTACGCAAAATATAATACGACGTATAAAAAATTAAATTTACAGAGCTGATAATACGTACGTCTGAAAATTTCCAGCGGTAGAGTGCGATAGAGAACGACGCATAATGGCGAGCGGCGAGCTGTCACATGAATCAACGCTGCTGATTGGCCGATGTAACATACGCTGTGATATGCTACTTCTGCTGCAAACTTGGCGGCATTTTTCAAATAGCAGATTTTCAATATTACATTCTTTCCTTCGTTTTGTAAGAAAAATACAAGAAATGAAATGATCAAATCATTGAATATAAAACATTTTAATGAAAACTATACCAGAAAAAGAATCGACGAGCGTTTTCGACTGTTGATCCCTTAAAGCGTCTGCGTTCTGTGTTCTGTATACCAGTTGTATACTTGGTGCTCTTGCCAAGTATAGGATTTCTCGTAATCAGTTATTTAAAAAACCCAAGTGGTCATTAGATATCATACGTTTGAGTGCCATTGTCACCCGTGTGTTAATAAACACGTAAATTTTCATCGAACCGAATAAAATTCGTTTTATTTGTCGTAACAATACCAGAGCTCTGACAATACGTAACGTAACAGGATAACCTCAATAATGGCACTTCGTGCGCTATGCTTGTTACGTTCTAGCTGCACAAACTGTGGGTTAGTACCATCCGTACGTTTTAATTAATTATGTTAATATCTTTTTAGTGTCGAAACAAAAGGAAATGATTCGCAGGTCAGCAAGATTTTTTGCAAGTGCAAGCAAAGGTGGTGGTGATATCGCTATTGCCAAAAAGCCTCAACGAAGTTTGATGTCCAGGGAGGAAGAATTAGCTCAAGAAGCCAGAAAGGAAGCTACGATTTTAGTATCTGAAGTCGAGAATGTTGGCCTCTGCTCTGGAGTCCCTGAACAACATATAAAGACTCGCACAGTTCGTATTTATTGCCCTCCAAAAAATGCTATGCAGTCCGGGACGAACAATATAAATTATTGGCAAATAGACTTTGATACGCGCGAACGTTGGGAGAATCCTCTCATGGGATGGACGTCAACGTGAGTCAAGGAAATTTTTTATAATTATATACAAATTATGTCCCGATTATCACCAACTCATTTAATTTCAATCAATATTTCTACCCTTTACAGAGGAGACCCTTTGTCAAATATGCAAGTAGGATTCAGTACGAAGGACGAGGCCATTGCTCACTGTGAAAAAATGGGATGGAAATATTATGTCCAGAAACCAAACATAAATAATCCTAAGCCTCGTAGTTACGGTACCAATTTCGCGTGGAACAAACGTACCAGAGTTTCGACTAAATAAGGGGCAATCGTCTGTTAGAAAAAGAATTGATACAGTCCTGTACATAGCACTGATGCATAGATGAAATTAAAATCTTGTAACCATCCTTTTAAACTATGTAATATATTGTAATGTTTAAATGATTCTCGTCGTTAAACTCCACAATTTTATTTTTTAGCAATAGTTATATAATATCATTCATACATGATTAACATTCTTATTATTCACCTCTCGCTTATTCGTATTAATAGCGTTTGTATTATAACAGATTTGATTAGACTGTGTATTTTTAAAATTCAGTATCTGCTTGCTCGCCTTATCTTAGAAACTACATCGAGCATTGTTACTAATATAAAGAGAAGGTATTTTTGTATATGCTACAAGTTTAGATCGAAAATTCACAGAAGAAACGTTGTTTAAATATAAAAATATTATTCGGAAGTATGGAAAATCGAAATGCGTGTTGCAGCACCGCTGGTGCATTCTTTCTTTTTTTCTTTAAACACGTACGTGGAACAAAGTTTGATTCGAAATTGACGAAAAATTGAATGAACGTTCAACGTCCATAATGTTTGTATGTACCTGTATAAGCGTGGAAGAACAATGCTCGAGTTTCCGTTTAGAAATTTATATGACAAAACGGTTGCTTCTCTGCAAACTAATGAGGATCATAATTATACTATTTACAGGTTCGATCTAAAGGAACGTTTCACTGCTCTCTTTTTTTTTAATCTTTTTGTTTCTGATGAATTATTACAATACTAGTACAGTATTTTCTGCTCTGTCTGTTTGCTTGCTCGGTTGCTTCCCATTTCGTATGTACCTGTCTCCGTTTTAACAACGCTTGTATCGGTCTAATCATTTCTCAGAACACGAAATTTACCTCCTCATCTATGGTGAGCCTCTAACAGCGTGACGGTTTCAATTCTTGCGACAAATTGAAATGATTAACAATAGAGTATTGACCGTTAAGAATAAACGCATGAGACTTCTCGTTACGCTAACAATAATTTCGGAAAGTAAACCGCACGCAAAACTGTGGAAGGAGAGAAAAAAGCTGATTTGCCCTTTAAATCTCGATTGTCGTGAACCCTGTACTAATGGGCGCTCCTTTTGTTTAACGTTAATCCTTAAAAAATTGTGACTATACGCTTTTCTCCTCTCTATTGAACGAGTCAGACGTTCGATCTTTCACACCTGCTGGCTTTTATTTTACTACAGCGTGAACGATATTGTCGCCTCGATTACTTTTTTACTTTTTCATTTTTATAAAAAATGTGAGAAACGTCGAGACGGTACCGAAACGAATCCGACGATCGATCGATCGCTTCGTTCCAGCGTCGAAAGTAAAAGCTGAGAATAGTTGCAATAATAATTATAGTAATTGAAGTGCGTCCTGACGGTGTATCTTTAAACGTGTATTTAGGTTTGAGCAGGCGTATTATTTTAATTTTTTCTTCTTTTGTTCACACGCACACACGCAGCACGCAGACACGCAGAAAAATGCGCAGAAAAGTTTATAATCTAAATAATCTCGGATACCCGACCGACCGGGGTCCCGATATCGTGATTGTACAATTTTTTTTGAAATTTTACTATCCGTGTAAGTTTCGGGATAGCCGCATGTATGTCCAGTCTCTTATTTTTTGGTATATTTATAATTATATTATACATNGTGTGTATACACGCCAATTATCGATAACATATCATATATATTTTATGCCTTTAATTGACATGATACATAGCTCCACGATGTGTGTTTCCTGCTTATTCATGTGTTCCCGAGAGTGTAGGACCGTTTCGCGCAGCTTGAAAGGTGATGAGGGTCGCAACGAACTCCCTCCACACGGTGAAGCATTGAGATGCGCAGAACGATTAAAAACTGAACTGTGCCCGGTCCTAGACTCTCGGAACCGCGAGTATAGATCACATTTATCGGATCGTTCATCTATCGTTTAATATTATTTTTCTCCCTGTACATATGTACCTTTCTTGATAATTTTCTCGGCTCGATCTTTCTTCGCTCGTGATCCTCAACGCTATGTCTTTATAGTCGACGCGCGAAAACAAGGTTGCCAAGCATTAAGCATCAAATGCTAAACTCTAAAAGTAACGTACCTGCGGCACGTTCTAACAAGAAGTCTGATACGTAAAATTTAACTCGTACCGTTTACGTTCCGTACGAATATTTGTTAATATGAAAATCTAATATTATAGATGCGCTTATTATTCTTGTATACGTATTATTATTAACTCGCAATCATTTTCTAACAATAGGCACTATAGGTCGACGAGAGGTCGTGGCGTGTGTCAATGGCAACGTTTATCTCGGTGAAAAGGAAAATTCGAAAAAACGGTAATGCGTGAAACTCTCTATTCTGTTAATTGAATCGATAAGTTTTGTGTCCTTCCAGGGATTTCAAATACTGAAGTAAGTAAAGAAACATGACCCGATAAGGTAACCGTAAAAATGTAACTAATCGCTACAAAATTCGTTGTTCCTTTCTTTACGTGGAATTCATCTCTTTTGGTTTTTCTCTAGCTTCTTGCTTCCCTTTCATTCCTACCTCTCTCCCTTTCTCTTATTCAATTATCGCTTAACACTTATCGTTAGTTTCACGTTATACATACAGATACTTAACGATATTTCATTTTACTATAAAGAAGAAATATATATGTATACCAAATGTCCCGGACCACTCGTACACTCTTTCTGAGATCTGGAAAATTGAGTTCTTTTTAAATTTGGAAACCTATTCTCTATTAAATCGAGCCTGCTCCATTGAGTAGTGATATTGCCGACCTCCGAAGATGCATATTTTTTGGCATAGAATCAGAATTCGTCATGAAAATATGCATATTCCACTTGAAAAACTGGACTTCCGGTCTAAAAAACCCACTTCCGGTCTGCGCCGGAAGTCGGCAATATCACCATTCAATAAAACAGGCCCGATTTACCCCCGACTAGGTTTTCAAATTTTCAAAAGCTCAATTTTCCATATTTCAGAAGTGGTGTACGGATAGTCTAGGACACCCGGTATAATTAATAGATCTATTATCGCTGATCGATATTAGATTTTGCCTATCGCGGCACAAAGTAAATTACAAGACGCGTATGACAACAATTGTGTCGACATGCTCGTCAAAAAATGGCGCATCGAGCGACGAGTCTCCGCGTATTCGCTATTCCTCGTATTAAATTCGAAACGAACCCTAATTTGCGCGTAAACGTGTAAAGAAATAAGTAAGTGTACGAATCTCATTCAGATCGTATCGAATCATTTCAAATAGAATTTCATTATATCAAATGAATTATTTTCTAGCAAGGTACGTTCCTTAAAAAATTCTAACGAAAAAACGCTCACTTCGTGTCGTAGCGATCTGATTTCTCTCGGATTTCCTCGTTCCGTCTTCCGTTTTCTTCTCCTATCCGTTTCTCTCTTCGAAAACAATTATAAATGAAAAATCTATACTATTTGAGGCAGTATTATTATTCTTCTCTTTACGTAATTATTACTCAGTTTCCTTTGTAACGAGTAAGTAGATCGTGTCTGATGGTTCGATTTGAGAGAGACAAGAACGAGGGATCGGAATTCAAGTGTATCTCATTAAATTGGTCCAATCACCCTTAATCGCGGTAGAAGAATCCGGCTAGGTAAACTCCAAGGTAATCGATCTAAGTTAACTATTATTCCCAATCTGATCGGTATGAGAACGTGTATCTGTACGTAACGTATTTCTCTATCGCGTAAGAAAAGATTAAGCTCGTTGCGATAAAATTGATCACTAAAAATAGCGTGTCGTTATTCGATACGAAAACATTGTAAGAAGAATAAAAGTGATAAAATTGAAATATAAGAATACGCGTGTAGAATATAATAATTTTTGTACATGAGAGTCTGCTAGACCTGTTAAAATCGGTGAGAAACAATCGAGTCGAATCGAGGCTCTACGGATCAACAACGAAGTCAGAGAAGAGCTATCGAACAGTGACGATGGTAAGGCAACGGTGTCAAAGAAAGGGGGAGAGGAGAGGGGGAACTCTTTTGTTGGAAATCGTCGTTCGTTCGTTCGGACGAGATTCGCGAATCTCCCGATTCCGCAACGACGAGCAAGCCTCGGTCGTGGCTCACGGCCGAGCGAACCTCTCGTTCTTCTTTTTTCTTTTTTTCTTTTAAGTAATAACAGATCGCGCAGCGTCGGAAGGATGGTCGGTTCTTTAAAATCAACTGGCATCGTCGGTTTGGGCATCTCGATACTCCTCGCTCTCCCTGTGTACGAGGACGTGTACGACCGTGGCGGCGGATTGTCGTCGGAGCAGCGCCGGTCTCGAGGGCGGCGCCGTGTTCTCTGGACTGGGTTCCGTAACGAGTATGCTTACGTCGGTAGATTCGATTGGCAGCGGTGCTGGTTCTGGTGCTGGTTGCTGTTTCCTACGGAGGCTGCCGCAACGTCTGCTGATCGCTTCCTTTATGTCGCGATGCAACGTGTTCAGGGAGAGTGTCGTAGCGCTCGGCGGGAGTGACCTGCGCTTCGTAGGAAGACTGGGAGCTTCCTCGTCGGGATAACTTTCAACGGCGTTCTGCCGGCCGAGGGTCGGTCCCGCGATTGATCTGCTGTAAAGTTATTCGAAACTGAACCGTTTTGCCTCTGCCCCCGACTACCGAGTGATTAAACTCTCGATTCTCGAGGGGCGCGTTTAGTCAAGTTAAAAATGACGGTCGTTCGTCGGACAAAGAGCCTCAGAGCCGAGTAGACGAGTACACTCGATGTTTCCGTTCCGAGGACTCAGAAACCGAGAAGAATCGGCGAGAGTGAACGAACCTGGTATGTAGATCAGAGGAGGAAGATGCGGTGGCAGCGGAAGAACCGGTAAACGATTGCTGTTCCGTGGTCGGCGAGGGACGGGATACGGTCAGAGCAGGAGGAGGCAGGTCCTCGTGAGTACCGGAGGCGCCGGAGAGCAACAGCAGAGGCAGGTTTGGAAAAAGCCATGCCGAGGCTGTACCGAGCTCGCTGAAATCGCTGGCGTCGCTGGCCCTCGAGGACTTGCGGCTACTGGCTCGGCTACCTCTGTGCACGTGTAGGAAAGCCGATACTTTGCCACTCCATCCACCCCCGCCCCTACCCTCGTTCCCGAAGCCGGGACTCGACGTTTGCGTCTGTGAGTCCACTTCCTGAGCCATTCGTTCACGTTCCTTCTTCGCCCTGTCCAGCATGCAAATCCACGTTACTCCGTGACCCAGCAAATCTGTTTGGTCGTACAAAATAGTAATGCTTACGCTATATACTCTCTGATGGTGCGTTGGACCAATCTGGCGGCCTTGTCCTGCCGCTTCCACATTCTCGTCGAAGAGACGATCTCCAGTTCCTTACGCGTAGGGAACTGTTTCTTGAACTTGATGTCCATCTGCTCCTGCAGCTTCCTGAAATCTTCGGACTCCTCGACGTGTCCAAGGACGTGCTTGACGAGTGAGTGAAGAATGTCCAGACAATGAATCTTGTTACCCTTAGCTATAGGAAGATTGAAGCTGACCAATGCGACCATGTTGGGCTTCGAAATTCCTAACGGAGGATCCAGGCTCGCTATGAAATCGCTCAGCTGCGAGAAGTTTATGAACTGCGTCGCGTGCGGGTCGTACCTGCGAATCGATCACAGTTTACGCGCGTTAACATCGACCGTTCCGAGTCTCCGCGAATACGCGAACACGGCGGTACAGCGAACGTTCCCTTACTTGGACCATCTGATGTAGAACATCTCTAGGTCGTCCTCGACGATACCGATCTCTTCCTCTTGATGGGCTTGATTAAAGTTTTCGAGAATAATAGCGATGTACATGTTGATAACGATCATGTAGCTGATTATGATGAACGAAGTAAAATAGGTGATGGCCAACAGTGGATATCCACAGTTCCCATTCATCTGGCGACTGGTCGGCGTCGGGTCGCAGTCGGGCGGTTGAACCATCAGAGATTCTAACACGTCGTTCCAACCGGCCGACGTCATTAATCGAAATAGTAATTGCATGCTTCTACCAAACGTTTCGAAATTCACCTAAATGATATCGAGGAGAAAACAGAAAGGGAAGAACGAAATATGAACGTTAGCAAACAGACAAGGGACAGGGAGTGAACGAACGATTCTTTACTCACCATGTCGTCGAGTGCGCCTTGCTTCTTGACGTGACCGAACACCGACATGCCGATGATGGCATAAATAAACGTAATTAGAGCTAATAGGGCGCCGATGTTGAACAGCGCCGGAAGACTGACCACCAGAGCGAAGAGCAGTTTGCGAATGCCTTTAGCAGCTTTGATGAGCCTTAAGATTCTACCGATTCTGAACACTCTCACGACTCGCAGGAGCGTCGGGGACACAGGAAAGTCTACCATGATGTCCTCCATCAGTATCCCTAGTATAGAGGCCAGGACGAGGAGGAAATCGAACAGGTTCCACGGCACCGTGAAATAATGATAACGCAGTCCTATTATCTTGACGATCGCCTCCAGACCGAACACGGTCGTGAAAAATGCGTTCGACACTTCGAGGACGAAGAAGATCGGGTGCGGCTGACCGTAGTGCTCGATTCCCATCGTCAGCATGTTCAGGAATATCAAAATGAAAATTGCTATTTCGAATCTGGAAAGATCGGAGCATGTTTAGGGTAGCGAGAAACAAAACGGGGGTATTAGGTCATCTCCATAAAGGTTGATCGAACGGATACGCATGCTTGCGTATCCAATGTCGACGATAGCTATCGGCCCGGGGATGATCTAATAGCTTGAGAAAACGCGACCCCAAGTAAAGATCGTCTGTTTACCTGCGTGAGTTCGATAGGTCGTAGAACATGGCGAGGACTTGATTCATCGGACGCTTTATCACTTTTTGCGGCTTTTTACGGCCAAGCTTTTTCATGGCAGTGTAGTAGTGTTTTTGACTTTCGGTCAAAAACATTTCTAGCACTCCACCTTCGTACTGAAAATGGGAAGAGAAGAGAAGGAACGAAAAAGGGTAGGGAATTGGAAGAAACGTTTCGGTGTTGGATGAAATCGTAGTTGCAAACAGTAATTGTATGTATGTGTACGCGTCGACGACCTCTTACCTTCTTTTTCAACATGTTAAAGTTGTCTATAATTACTCCGATAAACAGGTTCAGCGTAAAAAACGAGCCGCAAACGATAAATATGACGAAGTAGATGTACGCGCAGATGTTCGCTTCTCTCTGCGGCTGGAGGTCTACGCCCCTGACGTCTACCGCGTCCTGCATCACCTCCATCCACCCTTCGAAAGTGGCTACTTGGAACAGTGCTAGGTAAGCTACCCCGACGTGGTCGAACGTGATTTTACTGTTCTCCCAGGAGTAATTCTTCCACAGACAATCGTCCTTCGTGTTCACGATCTAAGGAGCGTTCGTGCCATTCGAATCTTCCATCTTTCATTCCTCCGACCGCGTCTCAATCTCGAGAACGGTCAGAACCGTCGAACGTTTGAATAAATCGGATAGACCAATGGTCCACACTTGTTCGTTCATCTGTGACTCGGAGTCGTCGAATCTAATTTAGACGATGAACACGGACTTTTTTATAAGTTACATCGACCGTCTAAATCAGACTCGGTAATTCTGAATCAGAGACGAATGACCAAGTCCCATGGCGTACGTGAAATGGCATTGCTCTTTCGAACGTTCAACGGTTTGGTGATCGAATCGAAATGTTTCACTTACCGATATGTCTAACAACTCGCCGTATTCGTCGACGCATTTGAAGAACTTGCCGCCGAAAAATTGCACGCCCATAATAGAAAATATCAGCCAGAACACGAGACAGACGAGGAGCACGTTGAATATACTAGGTATCGCATACATCAACGCGTTCACTACGATCTAGCGGGGGGGAAAGAAAAGAAACAGCGGATACTTCTACCTCCCTTTCAATCCCGAGTCTCATTCTAGCAGCCGTTCTACCGTTCAGCATTAATCTACGATTCCCTTACCCTCATGCCTTGCCATCTCGATATCGCCCTTAACGGTCTCAATGCTCGCAACGTTCTCAGCGATCTTAGCACTTTCAAGTTTTCGTTCTCCTCTATCAACAGACTAAACGTCGATACCTGTTCAAGAAAACTTTAGTTACGATCGTTTGGACGGGCACACCTTTCGCCTTCATCATCCACAGAGCCGAACATGCTGCTTCCGATTCTTCTAAAGCTGCGCAAACCATCTCGTCTAGCAAGCAAAAATTAAAGCTCCAAAGGAAAATAGAGATTCTAGCATTTGTGACGCGACGACAGGACTTTCGTCCAAGCAGCGGTCAAATGCTAGCCATGGCGGCGAAGCGGAAAATCTCATGCAAAGCGCAGTATACCGTTTCGACGTTGAACGTTGACAATAATTTTCGCAGTTCAAGATCAGTCATGAACGAGAGAACAAAAGACGTCTTTCAATTTCGCTTTGTATAAAAAATCTGTTCGCGTCGCTAATATTTTACTGTGCGATGTGCACGTAAAGACAAAAATAGCAGTCGTGAAAGAGAAACGAATCGAGAGTTGATTGCGTCTTGAAACGTAGATAAAAAGGTTCTTTGTCGATTCTTTTTCTAAAACTAACGTTGATCAAAGGTAGCGAAAGGGTCCTGAAAGAGGAAGACGGCGTGAAAGAAAGTAGGAAAGCTTTGAGGCTGTGATGAATCAAAGTATAATTTGGTGAAGCGTGAAAGAGATGCGCATACCGCTCCCATCCATGAGTCTTACGACACCCGCGAGTATTTTTCGTATTGGCACCATTGGAATCTCTCGACAGAAAAATACATTCTGATGCATGAGTATCCCAGACGTTTTGAAAGATCAGAAACGTAAAACGTGTTTCGTTAAACGATCACATTGGTATTTAAGAATTGCAAGACACGAGAAAAGAGTCTCTTTGATACAGGGATGACGAACTGGCGACTGTTGTCCCATGACCTTTTCTTCGCCCTTGGCTTCCTCTCCTTCCTCGCAGGGGATGACGAAGCGGGGCCATCCTAGGATGCCTTCGTTCTCCGTCTCTGCCTGGTTACTACGCGTGACCGTCTTACAATTAGCGAAAATAGTCAGAGTCGACGCAAACCAAAGAGCGTTCGGCCAATCAGGCTTCAGATCCATATTTCTTCCAAGGGGGATCACCTGCTCTCTACCAAAAACATGGCTGACTGGGCACTGACGAACAGCAGACGGGTAAGTGTTTATCTCGCTCTTCTTCAGTTTCTCGGTCTGGTCCTCAGCACGTGCGACCGTCTGTGGGCCACAACGCGAAGAGTCCGGGTCCTCGTTCAATGACTCGTACAAGTAATCCGATTGCATCAAATACTTTGAGTCCAGGCGAATTCCCGCGACGACGTTTTATTCTAAATTAAATCTTTCTTCAGCCGAAGTCGTGGTTGACTGATTATGGGAGTGAGCGTGGCACTCGACGGAGAAGTTCGTCATCCCTGCTTCGACGCATGTTCGATTTGTTTTCAATGTACGTATATACGTAGGACGTTTCATTTCGCGACGTGTCCTAGGATTCATGAAGGGAGGTGCAGACCGACGATCGAACACGATCGCGGTAGAAGCAACGTACTAATTTTGCACGTACCTGAGTCCGCAATGCGACACATATAAAAAATTCAGAAGGAAATGCATAAAAACGAGGAAGACAATGAGATAAGTAGCGGGATCATAACACGGCCGTTACGATCGGTGAGTAACGAAAAATCCATGCAGCGATGACGTACGTAAAAATTGACACATATACGTAGTCGACATGCGCTCGCGCGCACGTATATGTATACGTACATACGTACGTATGTACTACGTTGCGGCTTTTGCTCGCACGTGTACACAGACAGAAACGCGAGACAAGCAGACACGCGCGCACACGCTGCCACGCACACATACGATCGAAATCGATGCCATGGCCACGCGGGTCAACGGCTCTACTTACAAAGACGATTATAAAATCCAAGATCGTCCAAAAACTGGTGAAATATTTGCAGAAACCCAAAGCTAGCCACTTGAGCAGCATCTCAATACTGAAAAGGGCGCAGAAGCCGAGATTGGTCCAATAGAGGATCTTCTTCAAGAACGGATTATCGTCTAGATAGATATCTTCGAAACAGAGCGTTATGGAAGATGCGAAAATGAAAACTAGTATCATCCATTCGAAGCCGGGCGTGTCGACAACCGAGAGGACCATCGTTCGTATATTTATCCATTTTTTTCCGATAGACGTTGCGACACACCGATCGATGCAGGTACACCTGCACACACAACGTACACGGCGATGAAAATTGTTCGCACCGCCGGAAACGTCGGGTGATTCCTTTCGCTAGGCGACCCCAAACGTTCTTCCTCTCGTTCGTCACGTTGTACCGTGGCATCGTGTCGCTCCGTCGTTCGTAGGAAAGAACGAATGGATTTCGAACCCAGCGACGGTACCACCCCGAAGAACGTTCCGTAGAATCCTTACTTTTCGTAACACTGCCGTGGGAAGCAATCCTGCGGTTCTTTCCTTCGATTGCTCCGACCGAATCCAGGAAAGGAACCCATACCATCTATGTATTTCCCTTTGCTGTCCCTTCTACCACCGACGGTTAGCTCGTCGACGTAGCTGACCAGAGCGTGCCAAGGTCTCTTCGGTCCGGCGCGTTCCTCGAGTTTAGGAACGGGTTCCTTTTGCGGTAGCATAGCCACCCTCTCTTCCGGCGGCGCTTTGGTCGAGGACGAGGGCTCCTTCGCCGTCTCCGCGCGTCGACGCTCCTCTTCTTCCTCTTCCTCCCCCTCCTCCTCCTCTTCCTCGTCGTCCTCCTCCTCTTCCTCCTTACCCTCGTTCGCTTTGGCCTCTCTCTTCTTGTCGTTCGAATAATTGTTCTCGTCACCCTGAGTACCGGTCGCCTCCCGTTCCTTCTCCCACTCTCTGTAGGTCTGCTCCTCGGTTCGCGGCCGAGAGTACATCGGGTCCGGATAAGTAAAAACTGGCTGGTTCAAACTTTCTTGATAAGATCTATTGTAAACGTTGTCTTTTGGAAGGCTGAGCACAGTCTCTTGGATAGCGTACTTGGTCTCGTTGTCGGAACGGTCGATCACGGATCGCACGATCTTCTCCAAACGCGGATCTTTCCCTCTGTCCCTCGCGACGGCGCCTTGATTCACCCGGGGACACTTGTTCTTCCTGATGATCGACCGAATGCGATCGAACGATCTGGCCAACTTGGAGTCCTCGCCCACCTCCTCCTTCTTTTGTTTCAACTCCTCTGAGTTGAAGCTGTTGAGCAGCAACGCGAGGAAGAGATTCAGCACCATGAAATTGCCCATCACCAACGCCGGGAGGAATATCGCGAAACACGCCCCGGGTCCGTCATCTTGCTCCGCCCGCATGCAGTCCCACAACGGTTCGATCCACTCGCCGCACAGTATACGAAATATCATCATGAACGAGTGAAAGAAATCGTTGAAGTTCCACCGGGGTACCGGGTCCGGGTAGAACTTGTCCAACGTGTAGTCCTTGCTGAACAATTGCATGCCGATCACGGCGAATATGTAAATGACGATCACCAGCACGAGGGTGAGATTACCGAGGGCGCCGATCGACGATATGATGATGCTGAGCAGGACCTTCATCGTCGTCCAGGACTGCGCCAGTTTCAACACACGCAGCAGCCTGAGACCGCGTATCACGGAGAGGCCGTCTACCAGTTCGAAGGTGAGATCTATCAGGGACGCTGACACGATTATCAGATCGAAAATGTTCCACCCGTTCGCGAAGAAGTCTTTGCTCAACGCCAACAGCTTCAGCAAGCATTCGAAGGTGAAGATACTGGTGAACACCTTATTACCGATGTTGAGTGCCTGTCGTATCGACTCGCTCATCCCATGATGTTCCATTGCCAGGAAGCCGGTGTTCAGGACGATGCACAGTGTGATCGTCAACTCGAATAGCGGATCTCTCACTACCTAGATACGAGCCACTGGTCAATCGAGGGTCGAGCGTTCTCCTTTTCGTTCTTAATCCATCTCTATTAATTTCTTTCATTCTCCCTAAAAATCGCCCGCACGAATTCTTGATCTCTGTCGGATACGATGATGGAAATGAAAGTGGAAATCAAGAATCCGCTACGTTCGCTCTTCATGATTACGCGCAACGATCACCGGAATCGCGCTCTTTTTCGAACACGCTCGCCTCTCGGCGCTATGTTTATCATTTGCTTGCATCACCTACCTTGTACAGACAGTTCTGAAATCGCAGCCAACCCTCGTAGTCTACGCAGCACTGGATACACTTCTCGCAGTTTCTGTCTGGAAGATCATCTGTAACACACGACGAATACGCCCGTCAGGTCAAAGTTCGTGCCACCGTCTCGGTGCCCGCGTTGTCTTTCGTTCGCTGTTCTCCTCACCTAAAATCACGATGTGTGACAAATATTCCGACGGCAAGGTGTACATCTGCTTCTTCGTCTTCAGACCGTTGCATTTGAACACGCGAATCTCTTGAGCGCTTCCACCAGCGAGCGTGGTAGGAACGTTCGCGTGCGCTCGATGACACACCTGCGGACGAGTCGTCCGAGACTTCTCCCGTTCGCCCTCCACATCCGCCTCCGCGCCGTTTCTCGTTTCCCCGGCGTTCGCATCCCTGTTGTTCGTAGGCGTCCTCTCGTGCCAATCGGCCCTGGACTCCTTGTTATCCCGCCTGTCGTGTTCCTCCACGGACGTGACGTCGTCGCCGTCGTGGTCGTCGACGACCCCCGAATCGTCCAACGAAGACTGTTGATTGCTGTTGCTGCTCGCTTGGCGAGAGTGCAGCATTCCTCGGTTCGGCGCCAGCCTGTGAACCGCGTTGTTCTCCGCCGTTCTCGGGCTGACATTTTGCAGAACCAAGTGAGACGGTCGAACGCACGAGTGTCTCGGACTCGGATTCGGGCTCGGCGTCACCGATCTGCTCGGTAATAATAAAAAGAGAACGAGATTAATTAATTAATTAATTTAATTAATTAATTTAACACTAGAAAGACTGAAACTTAGTATATACCTATATTGCCCAAAGCAGTCAAAATGACTGCATTGTGAAAGAATAATGTGTAAAGAAATTTGTCTAAAATTAATTTTTAATATTTTTTATATTATTTACAGTCATATAACAAGTTATTAGTAAATGTTAACAATAAAAAAAATTTACTTCACTTGGGAAAACAAATAATTTATGCATTATTATTTGTATATTTGCCCAAAAGCAGTCAAAATGACTGCATTGTGAAAGAATAATGTGTAAAGAAATTTGTCTAAAATTAATTTTTAATATTTTTTATATTATTTACAGTCATATAACAAGTTATTAGTAAATGTTAACAATAAAAAAAATTTACTTCACTTGGGAAAACAAATAATTTATGCATTATTATTTGTATATTTGCCCAAAAGCAGTCAAAATGACTGCATTGTGAAAGAATAATGTGTAAAGAAATTTGTCTAAAATTAATTTTTAATATTTTTTATATTATTTACAGTCATATAACAAGTTATTAGTAAATGTTAACAATAAAAAAAATTTACTTCACTTGGGAAAACAAATAATTTATGCATTATTATTTGTACATTTGCCCAAAAGCAGTCAAAATGGCTTCCTTGGGCAATCTAGTATTAATTGAATTTCACGGGCTGTGCCCAGTATAACACGTGGTAGATGTATACACCAAAAACAATATGATCACAAAAAAGAAAAAACGAGAAAGAACAAGAATATAACAAAACTCGCTTACAAAAAAGTATAAAAGGAGAGTGAGAATCAATAACGATTCCGAATAGTCACCGATAGACTAGCGAACGCAAGCAGCGGAACAGCATCGGAGCGCCTAGCGAAGGGTAAGACGCGCGGAAGGCAAAGCCCTGCGCATCTTCCTTTTGATAATTTGTAAATCGTCGATGATTGAACCCATGTCGTTAACTGTCCTACAGGACCGAGTGATAGGGTCTAGCTCGCCAAAAATAAAATTCTGTTTTACCAGAAACGATGACGCGTGACCCGAGGCGAACAAGTGGCACTTGTCTCGGTGAGAGTCTCGCCGGCGGCGTCGTGGCACTTCCGATCGCGCGCGCTCTCGTTCATCAGGTGTTCGATCAATCGACCGTCGTTTAAGAAGACTAAATAGCATACCTGCTTGGCACCGAGCCGCTCTTATCTTGAGCAGCCGAGCCGGTACCGGCTGAGCTCCTCCCGCGTTTTCTTCTCCGCGTCTTCTTCCGCGTGTAACTGCTCAAAAGAACGCCCTTCCTCGCGTCCAACTTCTTCTGCTTCTCTTTGGCAAGCGTCTTGACATTGATCTTTGTCGGGTCGAAACTAAACGTCGAGTCCTCGCGATGGTCGGTCAAATCTTTCCTTCGTTCCTGCACGCAGACAACAACGAACGATCAATTGGTGTCGAACGAACGTGTGTACGTGTCGTACCTCGTTTGTGATCTCGGCTTCTTCTTCGTAGCTCAGCGCGACGACGGCGAGCATCAAATTGATCAAATAGAACGAGCCGAAGAACACGACCACCGTGAAGAACGAGACGCTGATAGGTCCGCACGCCGACAATACCTGAAAATCATTGTCAGACATCCGTTGATCGAGATCCAATTGATCCCGGAAACGGGCTTCGTGTTCAGGCATTGAACGAAGTACGTAAGAATGAATCCGTGGACGTTCGGAGCGACGCGACGGTAATTTATTGACAAAGCGGTTCATTCGTGCGGAACGAAAGCTGGCAGCCTACCTTATTGTAGACGTCTTCCCAGTAGTCGAGAGTGATCAACTGAAACGTGGTGAGCATCGACCAGAGAAAATTATCGAAGTTCGTGTATCCGTGGTTCGGATTTGGACCGACGCAGAGGCAGACGTAACTCTCGTTGCAATGCCTGGAAAGTAGGGTATCTCTCGATTAAAATCGGGAATGTCGTTTGTGACGTGTGTCACGCGCGACGATCGAACCCCGAAGTTCGGCCTACCTGGCGCCGGTCGCGTTACCGCAAATTATCGGTTCTTCGTCTTCGTCGAACGCCCAGTTGGACGAGTTCCAAGTCCACCTGTGGACGGGCACCAAGGTATCGGTTAATGCCTCTCCAGAGTCAACGAGCCATTGTCTCTCGAGTTGATACATATGCATGTGCACACGATCGACAAATAATATAACGCGACACGTATCCCTCTCTGTATACAACTACATGTCTACGTCCGTAAATGTTGGAATAAAAAGTGCACGAGTGCCACTCTATATGCTAAAAACTCTAAGAGAAATTTCATTTTCGACGTTACAATGTAACGATACGTACTCGTACCAATCGATTTGCGTGTCGTTCGACTCCAGATTCTTTACGCACTTGTTCCGCAGTTCGCCCATATACACTTGCAGGGCGAACAGCGCGAACACCATTAGGCAAAAAATGGTAAGCGTCATCACCTCGGCGAGTTGCTTAAAACTATGTAACAGTGCATTGATGATGGTCTTCAGACCTGAAACAATTCGATGACAAGGTCGGTAAGGGCGATCGGCGTCGCGTGGACCGCGAGAGGACCGTTATCGAACGTTTGAAAATTTATAATTAATATTTGCAACGGTCTCCGAGGGAGGCCGGTCCTTACCAGGCAAAATTGAAACAGTTTTGAGAGCTCTCAATACTCGGAACGTTCTCAGCCCGGCTAAATTTCCTACTTCCATCCCTATAGTCGCGTAGCCGCTGGTAATCACAACGAAGTCCAGCCAGTTCCACGGGTTTCGTAGGTAAGTGTATTTATTGAGCACGAATCCCTTGGCTATCGACTTGATCACCATTTCGGCCGTGTATATAGCTAAGAATATATATCTGGAAAACAATAGGTGGGAAAAGAGGGGCACGGTTACGCCTGCACGTTTCGGGGGTCGGGGGTCGATCCGTGTCGCCGCGGATCGAAAATAGAAAAAGAGCTTACTCGGCTTCCTCGATAGTTTCCGTCATGGCGAGGAAGGCACAATTTAATATTATCGTAGCCATGACCAGATAATCGAAGTACTGATTCGTGCTTAGGTATATACAGAACCGCCTCATGGGATTCCATGGTGAAAATATGAACCAGCTGTTCGTCGCCGTAAATCTGTGGATGTAATTTTTACGGAATCTCTTCGATACTACGCAGAACGTCTAAAACACAGGGTACAGACGATGCGTGAATCGGACACGTTCCCTCACGAACGTGGGATTTTGCGTTTGTTCTTTCATTTAGGGTCGATAGCGCTGACGATCAGCAACGAACAATGACGCGACCGCGGATTTTCATGCACCGCAGCTATCGCAGATATTGTCGATACGACAGCAGTTCCTGAGCTTGGATAGTCGAAGTGTGCACGCCGTTCATGAGTTTCTGAGCTCCGAAACCACCCGAGTCGGTGGTCGTGACGCAAGAGATCGTACGATGAATCGTGAGCAGCTTCCATAAAATTCTATTTGGAAAGAAAAATTAGCATCGAATTTATGGCATTGCCGACCACTACCACCTCAATTCGATGTTTCGTGATCGAAACACGAGATTGGAATAGGAGAAGGCCGGAATCGTTTTTCGAAAGCCCGTGACTCTTCAGCTGTGTGCGCTGCTGATGCAGCAAATATGCGATCCGACCGCCTGGGGGAGGCCAGACTGATCGACTCCGGCGAGGTTGATGGGTCGGTTAATAGAAAGTTAAGCGTCGATCGTGGCCCGGTATCGAGTTTGAAAAATTTACAAAAAATTCAAGTGGATCAGTTTAGCCTGATAGACCGTATCGGCGCCTCGGTGGATCAAAATTGAAACTTCTTTCAAACGTCGGACGATGTCCACCATTAAATTGTTTGTATCGTTCCGTTGTTCGATTATAAGCAGTGATGGGTTCTCATGTCATCAGTTTTCTACTTAGTTTGTAGAATACATCTTTTATGCCTCAGACGTAATCTAAACGACTCTACAGGTTTTCTACAAACTAACAATAAGTAGAAAACTGATGACATGAGTCGAGAATCCATTACTGATTATAAGTATTACACGTTTTCATTTATGGGTTTGTTCCAGTGAAGCGTTGGATCGATTCAACGATTCTGAAAGCGAACATCGACTACTACTGTTTATAATCGAACGTTCTGATCCAAGAGTAATTCACGCCATCCGATATGCTTTTAATTTTTCCCGAGGCCAATCAGAGTGAATCGTTGATTCTCGATTTTAGCGAGGATCACCTCGTTTGTTCTCATTTGTTTTAATGCGAAACGATCGAATGCCTAAAATCTGAAGGACGAAGATGAGCCTGCGAGCATTGTAAATCCGTTGATGAGGAAGCCTCGATTCTAAACGCATGTTTCGATTAGTAAAGTTGACACGTCTGAAAGCAGAGAGCCGAGTGTATTCGCTCGAGCGGATATCAAAGTATAAAGACTGTAACGAGCATAAACGACCTGATGCGTCCGCAGCTTCGAACTAATCAAATCGAATGGAAGTTCGAACGATTTTGCACGACGATAACCTGAATTCAAAACGATTATTTACAAAAGTGGCCTACTTGAACTGTTTCGTTCTAAATTCGTCCAACGATCGTTCTGATACTTCATGCATCTTCCCATCCCTTATTGAGTCTCTGTTGAAGAGGCAAGACGCGAATCTAACGACTCCGACATATACTTTTTATCTACTCGACTAAAAGTGTTCGATCGAACTCTCGTCGTTTTAATAATTGACGTTCCTAATATTTTCCCGTACTTTCTAATTGTTATTGCTCTCGAGTAATTACTCAAGGATCAGGTTTTATGCATTTTTTAGGAACCGAGGAATACACGTTCGAAGATGAAATGCACACGACCGATGTTCGCGGAAAAAAAGTGACACGGCGCCACCGCTATTGTACGTGGCCTCGATTTTACAAGTTCAATTTTGACCTCCGTTGATCCTCCGGGTTTCGTTCGCGGGCCGGTCGATCTCTGTGTGAAATGAAATACGTTCGGTGAACGAGCGTATCCCGATTTCTGCGCACGATTCAGCACTCTCCATCTTCAGGGAGTCGGATTGAAATTAATTGAATATAACGGGTGCAGCTTCGTACGATCGCATAAAAATCCACGGTCTAATCGTTAATCGCATCTGACCGTCCTCTAGATCGAATCGCACGTGTCTGAAAAATGACCCGTCCGATTCGATGGTCAGGTTGAATTGTACGTCGGCAGTGGATGAAGCACGAAGAGAAAACCGGCGGACTTACTTCGTCGTAGATGAAGTTGTCGATCTCCTCGAGTGGTCTACCGTACAGTTCGGTTGGGAAAGGTTCGTATTTGTTTGGAAGCACCGCACCATCCTCGACCGACATACGTCTCTTCGGTTGAAAGCCATAGTCCCTGACAAGTTGCACGGTCCTGTTCTCCAATCTGTCGAGGCTCTCTTTCGTGAACAGTTTCACCGTATGCTTGTTGTTGCCAGTAGGCGTTTTCACGTTGGCCTTATCGCCGTTCTCGGTACCGTCCTTGCCGTCGGAGATCTCGCCGGCATTGGCCGCGCGTGGCGTACCGAGAGAGTCCACTTGGATCTCGGCGCTTCCGGAGTCGCCGGTGCCAGAATCGGCAGAGGCGCCGGCTGCCGCAGCCAGCGGTGGTCTCAGCCTGGCGACGTCCTTGGGCTTGGAGGCGTCACCGTTCTCCGCGTTCGGCTTCGACTCCGGCGACGTCCGCTGCGATCTCCCGGCGGCTTCCGGTTCGAAACGGTTCTCGTCCCTCAGGCGATGATCGCGCGTGGCGAACTCGATCTCGGCATCGGAGACCGATCGCCTGTGTCGGGTCTCCTCCGCGTACAACGCGAGCGGATAATTCGGAAAGATGGGCGACGGAGTCTCGGCCTGGTGGCCGTACTCGCGGCGCGCCGTGTACTCCGGTGGACTGAGGCCCGTGTACGGTGGTGGTAGAGCTTTCTCCATATCCGGCGGCGAGATCGGGTCGCACTCGCTGGTCTCGCTCGCGGGCGAGATGAGTATGGAAGCGGAGGTCGAAGCGAACGTCGGACTGTCCTGGCCCCGTCTCCTGCTAGAGAACTCGCCAGATGTAACAGGTATCCGAGAAGCGTCGATACCCGGCTCCATCCATATCTGATCGCGCGGGAATTCGTGGAACGAGCCACGGAATTCTTCCTGTTGCTCCCGCGAGCGAATTCTGTCGTCTCTAGGCGGCGATCCATAGCCGATCCGTTCGAACCTGGGCCTGGCCTCGTAACGAGCAGCAACGGCAGTCTCTCCTCTCCTCGACGGTTGAGGCGTCCTCGAGATACCGATCCTCGACCGATCCAACAGCTCGAACTCCTCGGCGATGCCCGTGGGTAGATTCAGACTCCTCTGGCTTCCGATCTCTCTCGGCGATCTTTCGAGTATGTGCGCGGTACCCTGGGATCGAGTAGACTCTCCTGCCGAGAATCGAAGCTCTTCTCTGAAGAGGTTCGTCGGGTAAAGGCCCGCCACTCGAGGTCGATTAGCGAAGCCATTGTCCTCGGAGCCGTTGCTCGGAGGGTTGGGAGAACCTTTATATCCCTCACGGCCACCTTGCGAAGGTATCATTGGAATCTTTGGTTCCTCGGTGATCCGAAACTTTTACCTTTCATCGTTGCGTCGATGAGGCTTATCTCGTTCCCGTTCCCGTGTCCGCTCCCGTGCCCGTGCAAACGTCGCTACTCGTACACGACGTCATTCGCTCTTCCGCGAGTGTTTCCTTGCTCCGCGGCGACCGACCACGACGGTGTACAAAACGCATAATAATACTTTGCACAGGTTATTCTGAGACCCGACAGAACCGTTTCCCGATTATGTCCGAGAGGCAGCTTTTTCAGTAGTTCCCCAGGCAGTTCGATCAAGACGCGTGTAACGCTGGCCGACGTTCTTTTCAAATTTCAAAGGACGTAGCTGGCTATTGACTGAGCGCGAACTCGAATATGTGTCGCGGCACAGTATGTATAGACTCTTCTTTTTTCGTCGATGACGATCGTGCTGCGACGCGTTTCACCACCGGGACATGGCAATTAAAGGGAAGAAACGAAGGGTGGCCGAGTCAGAGGAAGGGACTCGAGAGAGGAAGAAGAGTACTCGGGGTATACTCGAAAGAGACGTTGCGTGATTTTTTACGGTCTCGATGATCGATGTACTCCTAATCCTGCGGCAGCGGCGACGACGACGACGACGACGACGACGACGTGGTCCCCTGGATATGTCACTCACACGCGTCTCCGTGGACTGAGCATCGCGAGGGACCGATGCCAAGTAACAAATAACAGGAAACGTGATCCGTCTGTTGCTTACCGATCATCCCATTTACTCGCGAGCCGTATTTACCATTTTATCCGTACCAATGCGAAGACCGCCTTCTCAATCGAGTTCTTAACTGAATAATAATGACGGCGACGACGTGCCAAGCGATACGGAGATAGCGAGACGATTCCGCGAAGCGATCGACATGATATGCGACGGGGACGGACTCGGGATAAAAATTGACACGATTGTAAATAGAACGAGGGAAACGAACGTGAGGCGAAACAGGGGCAACGGGGCGAGAGATTCGGGATCGAATGGGACAAAGCTGGAGAGAGGGATGATAGGCGAAGATGAGAACAGAGACGAAGGAGAATGAGAGAGGAAACCGTGGTGCACCCTCGTCATATAGTTCGGTGAATTGTAACTCGAACAAGGGTGCAAAATCACGAACGTCTCCGACGAGAACTGTGACGATACTATGGGACGAAGTCGATTCGTCTCGCGCGCGCGCGTATCGAACGACCGAGGGAAAACGGCTTTGAGGTCTCTCTTCCTCTCTCTCGCTCTCTCTCTCGTCCACCCTGTATGAGCGAATCTATCTGAACCCCCGACACACAGAAACTTTACGTGTGCGTGCACACGCGCACCGGGGGTTATCGCTACCGCGAAACTAGCGAACCACCAGCCTGCACGAATACTCTTTGCCACCCTTCCGCGCCATCCCCTACCCCAAGGCCACCGCCGACCCCTGCAGGTGATATCGTGGTCAGCGAACACTATGATTCCTTCGCGCTCCACTCTTCTAATTCATATTTTCCACTTGGTCTCTCCACCTGCAAACGGAAACCGTTTCGGCGATCGTGGATCATGATCGATTGACGGGCGCACGGAAAGGGCAGAAACGACCCTCGCAGGGTCGAGGTCGCGATTCATTCCTTTAATTTTATCTCGTTTACGATCGTTTCGACCGTAAAGTATTCCTTCGTTCCGAAGACGGTCTCTTCGCTCCGACGAGTCTTTGCCCGCTTCGACCGGACACCGTTGTCTATCCGCGATTTTTTTCTTTGATCCACCTTAAATTTCGAATAAAACGTCCCAGTTCCTCGGGCTACACGGCTATAACTGCAAACCGTCTTTCAAATACTTATCGATTTGTCCTCTAGCGTTCCTCTTTCCAGATGAGATGCTCGACCGCTATTCTAAAACGGAGCACGTCCAGTTCGTCGACTGGACACGATTTAAAATTTGTCTTTAACTGCCCACACGAACCTACGCATAATTCGTTCCCCTCTGCATAGACATTTATATATATCCTCCCGCCAGTAGTAACCATTTGTTCATGTCTTTCCTACTAAAATCAATTATCGAGGCAATAGTGGGAAAGTAATTTGAACGGAAATAAAAAATCACCGGTGGTACTTCGCTTCACGAGTTTACTGTAAATAATATTTACATGTTAATATTTTGGATTAATTTCTTGTTTTTTTTTTTTTCACATACCGCGAACGCGCAGGTATGCACGTTTACACACGTCGACGCATCGCGTAATACGTTTGCATATAGACCATATATATATGTACATATGTATATTGGGATTGGACACTCGCGGTCGTGGATCGTAGACGCAAACATTTGATACGTGCTGCGTATAGGATGGAACTTCTTAAAGTTTTACATTTCACATCGATCTTTACTTGAATTTCAAAATGCTTTCCTCTTCTCACTGTTTCACTTGAACTTAAGTCACTCCGGCAATTTTTTTGTTGTACAGTTGTACGACGAAACTAGATCCTGATTACAACGTAACGTTACAGACGAAATAAAATTTCTGTTACTTTCAATGCTTAATTTCTTACGAATCGTCGACTATCAGATGTACGCATGATACGCGCTTACGCACCGTCCTACGCATGTAACACGCTCGCTCGTGTGTTAAAATGTTCTTCGATCTACGATACCCAGCTATAAAAATCCGTTTGGATAAAAATTCGTGTATAACGTGTGTTTAATGTGATGTGGACAACGCTTTACATACTATCATCGTGTAATAATTAGATTCTATGAACGTAGATAAAAATTAAGATTGAGTATTAAGCGCTGGTACAATCTTCCTGCTCGCGCATATTCAGAATGGAAATTATCTAACAGAAGTGGAGATTAAAAATCATATTGCTGGTATGTATGTCTAACTGTTTCGGTCGATACTACGCATGATAAAACATCGTGTATCTCTCATACGTATGTATATGCATATATATATATATATTTTTATATAAATCTTTTAATTAAACAGTACAGAATTAGGATCTTCGTTGTCAAGTTGTTTCACGTGTCTCAATACGTCCTTCTTCGTAATAACTCCCAGTAATCGGCTGTGAAAAAACGAAGACGATTATTATTAATTATTCGGTTCACGAATCAATTGATCAATTGATTTCGTAAAAGGAGAGAACGATTACCCATTATGCGTAACGAGCGTTTGCCTCAGCCCTAACTTCCTGAACATATCGACGACTGTCTCCATTGGCGTTTGATCGGTGATCGTTATCGGGGCCATATCGAGAATCTTTTTCAACTTCAACGGCGGTGGGGAATGAGCTTGAACGTTGTTTCCGTTCGTGAACAGGACCAATGATTGCCCGGTAATTTCGTCCGACATACGTTTAGCGTTGGCGATCGCCAGATTCAGATCTCTGCGTAGGACGAAACCGACGAGGTACTGCGACTGTTTCGAGACTATGACTGGGAACCCGTTGTGTTCCGTTTCCTTCAACAGATTCTCGACGTCTTCGACGGTCATCGAGTCTTGAGTGAGCACGTGAAGAGCTTCGTTTCGCCTGAAAAACAATTGAACTCTCTTCGTATTCTTCGATGCGACGTGATTCGCTACAAAACCGCAGATTTTAAAACGCGTAAAATCCGCGGTTCAACATCGATCGTAATGCCGTTACTTGGGTTGCATGACGTCAGCGGCGAGAGTGGTGTGTTGGAACTCGTCCTTGCTGTCGAGGAATGGGTACCCGTTCAAGCCGATGTGGGCATCGTAAATCCCCTGCTTCCCGAGGGCATCGCCGACCCATTTGCTCGCCATGGCAGCGGCCATCAACGGCACGATGTATCGTACTCCTCCGGTCAGTTCGAACATTATCACAACGAGGGAGACCGTCATTCTCGTCACGCCGCCGAGAACGGCCGCAGCGCCGACCATCGCGTACAACCCGGGTGTTATACAATCGACCCCAGTCGAACACGCCTCACTGAATATCCAAATGTGCGGGTAATTGTACGCGAGCTGCTCCATCCCGATCCCGACGATCCGACCCATGATCGCCCCCAGGCAGAGCGAAGGGATGAACAGTCCGCAAGGTACTTTCATGCCGAACGTGAATATCGTCATGACGAGTTTCAGAATTAACGCTAACACCAGAAGCCATATAGCTTTGTAGACTCCTGGCCCGGCCGCTGCTACCTCGATCGCTGACTTGACAGCGGTGAAGTTTCTATTGTAATCGCTGTGTAAAGAAAAAATGAGTGAACATTCGAATGTCTGACGTATCGGTTCGGCGTTGATGGTATTCACTGACCATAAAATGTCTGCGTTCGATACGCCGCATTGTCTGAATAATAAATAAATTAGTTGGCTCGTACTCATTCTTGTGTACGGATTTGGATACCCGATAACGGCGGTGGCGACCGTCACTATCAGAACTTCTGTGACCGGGTATTGACCCAATTTCGAAGTTTTCCGGTACCGGCACCAAAAGAGATTCGCTTTGATGAACAAAGTGGCAATCACGCCCTAATGAGAAGGAAGAGAAAAGATGAGATGTTCAACGATGCTTCAATTAAAAAGAGGGCGCGTGGAAAAAGGAACTCACCCCGATTATTCCAAGCATGACGAACGGTATCAGTTCAAAGAATATCCAAGGTTTACTGTATTCCACGTAGAAGAGTACCGAGTGCTCGTTACCGAACGGGTTTATAGATCGTAAAATGAAGGCGGCTATCAGGGCACAGAAAAACGACCTCCACAACGTTTTCAACGGAAAGTAGTAGCTCACCTGCGGAGTTTCTTTCATTAATCATCTTCGGTTATCACGCGTAGAGGACCGCGAGTGTGATGCACGCTTTGACTCTGCTTCAATACCTCTTCGAGACTGAAAAGTACACCTCCGATCGGAGCACCGAAAGCGACCGAGACACCGGCGGCGGCTGCGGCCGACAAAATTTCTCTTTTCTTTGCCTCGTTTCTACCGTACTTTGGAAAGAGATAAGAAAATATATTTCCTATACAACAAGCTATGTGAACCATCGGCCCCTCCTTGCCTAAATTCAAACCCGCCGAGACCGACAGGATCAGACCTACTGACTTGATTATCAATGTCCACTTCCCTAAGTATCCGCGAATAATAAATCCACTTAAAATCGTCTTTATCTGCAAAGTCAACGGTCAAGTTTCGTCATTTAAAAACGTCCAAACGACGATTCTCATCGATTCGCCTTTATCGTTTACGTACCTCAGGAATACCGGAACCGCACGCGTATGGAGCGAACATCCTTACTAAGGAGGCGGAGAGTGAAGCGAATAGCAAGGCCCAAGCAATGTAAAACATATAAGAGATCATGTAAGGGCCCGCACCGTCTTTCGACTGATTGAACACTTCTGGCCACGTTCGCCACTGGAAACGAGCATGATCATTTATCATATATTTCTTGGATAAAATCCGCTGTGCGAGAGAAAAATAAAACGTACCTGCGAACAATTCCCACCGTCGAAAGTCGTCTCATTGTAACTCCAACAACACTGTTCTTTGTTCAACCAAAACGCTTGTGGACATATACCGAATTTTAAATCGGTCATCCAGGAAGCCCCGATATCTATGATACCTGCCGCGACTCCGGTAAAGAGACCGACCAATAAAACGCAGAGCCATCCGGACCAAGCATCGTGAGCTCCCTTGATCAGACCCCAAATGGAATCGTGCTTTTTCTTCACGATATATCGGTGACGCATACGATCTCGGGCGATGTCCCGTTGCCAATCGATCGTGTGGAAGTCATCGTATTGTCCGATCCCAGGGATGTCATCAGAATCGACTGAAACTGAAATAGTAAAGCGACGGAGAACAAACGAACGTTTTCAGTTTAACGATTGTACGCTACGTGCGTGTCCGCTTGTATCGAGTACGATACGTATTCGTCGATGGGCGACGGTGATACGATACGACACGATACGAGTGGATACACGCGTTCACGCATTACTCACTATGTGAGGAAGCATCGTCGATACGTATGTGTTCGGAAAGAGCGGCGTTTTCGCCGTGAGAGCCCACGTTACTGACTTCGAGCATGTCGTCGTCGCTGCTTAAATTAGTATCGCGCGCTATTGTTCGTTTTCGCGAGCGTACATCTCCTACGAAGTACACATCATCCGAGTTCTCTACCTGCAATCAATCGAGCCTTCACGTTCCACTTTCTTGTCATCGTTCGATTCTATTTCATTTATTACTTTCTCGTTAAATTTCTCCATATTTTATCTTCACCTTTCTATCGACCGATTGGTAAGTAGTCAACGAATGATGACTGTTTTGGGATATTGTGTTGTTTGCTAATGCCGTACCTTTCAATGGAAATTTCTCCATGGCATTCCCATCTGTAAGAAAATGATCGACTGCGTAAGTGTATCGGAACGACGTACAGTAAAATGATACAAAAATTGATTATATTTTGTACGTAGCAAGGAGCCAGAAGTGTCGCACGTTTCTCGTACATCTCTACTGTTCGCTTACCAAGGAACGAAGAATACATTTATCTCTAATACGTTCGAAACAGTTAACTAATACTTGATTCGATACAGCGTCACTGCTTCTGACTACATCGTCAAGTACATTGAAAGTATAGTCTCATAAGAGATTATCTTACGTTCGAGGTGTATGGTCTCCGGATTATGCTGATGAATAATTCATGGCACATCTAATTTAAAAATTAGTACAGTTGTTTGTATTATAATTTACGTTCGATATTAAGCTAGTAAGATACGACTACGACTGATCCAAGAAAAAATCCAGAAAAATCCTAATAAATATTTCCTCGTATTTTCTGTCATGTGACACACATTTTCGATGTTCGTTTAAAAGGCAGATAACGATTTGAAAAAATAATCTCCGATGAAGATCGAATCGAAGATTATTCTCGAGAGCGTCTGTCCTCGATTTTCACGTGTACGGAAACTCGCCAGAAAGACGATAACGTTCGTATTAACGATAAAATTAAACACTGGCTCGAAGCAAATTTCTGACGAGGTTACTGAATCCACGTAACGTGTAACATATCAAAGGAAAATGTTTCGAGGAAAGAGACCAATGAATCATCGAGTAGAAAATCAGCCATTTAAATTTAACGGTAAGGCTGATTGTTAATCATTTTTACGTAATTGTATCTGTCGAATTATCGGCTAATGCTGGCGATAAATCGGAATGACGAGTCGTTCGCTCGTACTCACCATCTTTCCGAGTAGAATGCTCCTCAGCTTTCTAATCATCAATTCCCTTTCTCCTCCTTATCGTTCCAACATTTGCTTATGTCATTTACTTGCCACGGAACAAGGTTTGCACACCTAAACTGTGAATAAGGCTCGTTTCAATCCGAGAGAAACTGGGGAGAATCGTATGTCTGTCGTGTCGTCGTATGTCGTGTACGAGCAAGGACTTGTCAAACCGTTCTCGTTCTCCCTTCCTCGTTTACCCTACGTTCTACGTTCTTTCTCTTTAATTAAATGTGTCGTCACACGCCACCTCACTGAATCGTACCGAACCGATCTACGTACTCGGATACATGCTAAGTACATATATACATATACATATATACTACACGCGTATATGTAAACCACGGTATAGAGATAGGGATTAGAAATTGCTTTCTACCGGAAAATGGGATATCTCGCACAATTTTTTAGATTGATGATAACAGATGAGCTGCTTCTTCTGATTAAATGATGGAAAGGAGGAGACGTGATTGAACGAATACTCTGATTAGAATTGAACGAGGGTGTACTTTTGTTATTGTCTGTTCGTTGGTACATTACTGACAAGTTATAGAATAAAATATAGACGAAAATTGTTGATACGTCGGTTAGACCTTTAAATTCCAATTTCATCTTTCGCTGTAATGTTCGCCGATCCTTGAAACTTAATGGGATAGGCCAGTTGATTCCCTTTGTTCCAAGTGTAGAGTTCCTGAAAATAGATAAAATATAATTGTGCAAATGGTCTTTCGTTAACACTTTATCGACCGGTCGTGGTTGAGGCTGCCACTCAGTAAGTACCGGTTTAGTCTAAGCAAAACTCTTCATCTGCACAGTCTTTATCCATTAGAAACGGTAAAAAAATATTATAATTGATAAAGATATGGAGTGGTTAGTATACAGCTACTGCGAAAACAGTAAATCAATGACGTTGACGCCGCATAATTACAAAAACAAAAACAACAACAACCCACTGTACGAAAACCGTCGATAGTTAAAAACCGATTAATAGACTAGCGGTCGATAAGCGTTGGCAATCGAAAAGCTGAAAAATAGGCTAGCGGTCGATAAAGTGTTAAGATCACTTCGTTTCTCAGACTGTGGAACATTTACTTTCGTCTTGTGGTTGTAGCTGACCGATGTAGTCTTATGATAGGGATTTGTAAATGACAAATGAACCGGTACCGTAACGTTCTTGTAAAGATCGAAGGCCAGTCTGTAAACGAACCATCTTTTATGCATCAATTCTGTTCGAATTCGTATTAGCTTCTGCTGTTCTTTACAAGTTCTACCTTATTTTCATCGTTTCTTCTGTAACGCTGTGAACAGCATAGAGCACCCCCCCGGCAATGAACATCTCCCCGAACTTATGATTGTCGATACTGATGTTCCATGCGTGTTGAATATGCATGCTGGACGAATCAATTTTTATCACCACTGTATTATTCGACGGTAATCCGTATATTACCCATAAACCTGTCGTTAGGTTACACAATAATTATGTATCATCTTCTCTTTTCAAAATCGGTTTACAAATTATTCGTAATATTACCGTTCTCGTCGACGTTGAAGTCTACATAGTTGAAATTATGGTTCGGCGTGTACAAGTAATTTCTCGTGTTGACCAACAACCCTGGCAGATGCAGTTCACATCGCGTGTACTCGTCGCAGATGTGATCGGAGAAGGAATGGAGATCGAAACGATAAATAGAAGATCGATTTATGGGATTGTAAAAGAAAGATCTGTTGTAAATCACGTGCCCGTTCCCCTAGAGATCAATCGAACATGGTACAATGTACAGTGATAAAATCGAAAGTATCAAATCGTACCTGGAACGGATATGGTAAAGCGATGGAATATGAACTGGAGTTTTTATAATGGTCCTTCGATTTGTATTCAAAGATGAAAGAGGTATCATTTTTCCGTGTGACCCAAAGCTTCTCCGGGTAACCGTCGAACTTGGCGTCGTGCATCCAACTTCCGTAATGATCATCCATGGTACCTTTCAAGACAGGTTTCCCCACTGCTTCTATTACACCGTCTGTAATACGAACCAATACGCTGTTGTACAGTCATTAACTCGATTCGCCGCGTTACGTGAATCGGGATTGTGTACCGAACGTTGTGAACTGAAAATCTGTTCTACCTGCGAGTCTCGGTGGAAGTCCGGTGAAATTAATATTCTTCAACGGCTGGATTTTCAAGTATTCAGCAACGTCTGTGAAAGTACATCTGAGAACGGGGCACGTGGGGCACGTTTCACGTGGTCCGCAAAGATCTTCAAGGTCGACGTGTTTTGGCGCCGGTTTTCCATAAGTAACGTGTTGCCTTCCCACTTTAGACTTATCCAAACTCTTCGAATGAATATCTAACGCGCAACATTGTAATTTGAATTAATCATCGAAATGATCGAGGGGAAAATAATTGCGTGACAGATGTGTCTAACCATCGACCGTGAATGACCCCCTAATGGTCTCAAGATCATTTTTGACAACACAGTGATAGGTACCGTGATCCATTGACCCTATCTTTGTGATCTTCAGACGCGCTTTAAGCTAAAAAATCATTTAGAAATAAAAGTAAATGGAAACAACAACGCACAGACTATCAAGTACCATTTATCCAGCATCGGTCACCTTGTACATATCTCTTCTATCGTAAACTTCCATCCTATACTTCTCAGACATTTTTAATTGGCGTCCACCGTCGCGTTCCCAATGGACGTCCGGTTCCGGGAACGCTTCGATCTCGCACTCTAGAATCGCGGTGGTTCCGCTGCGCGCGCGAATTATTTGATTGCGTATTTGAATAAACGGTGGGACTGAAACGAAGAACCTTATGAAACATAAACGGAGTATTCGAGTCATGTCACGAGGTACTTACACTTAACTTGGAGTTGGTATTTTTTATATGCTCGCGGGGGAACTCCATTGTCAGCGACGCAAACGTAATCTCCCATATGCTCTCTGCTCACCGAGCTGACATTGAACGTATGGCCAATTACAGAACTCACTGTCGAACAAATTGTAACAGTTACGTCGAGAAAACTGTGATTCTGATGACTATTGATATTATATTTGGTATTACCGTGCCAAGATCCTAGTGGGACGGCAGAACCGTCGCTTCTGAGCCACTGAACGGTAGGTTCCGGCTTGCCGCTCGCTGCACATTTTAACCGTAAATTAGTACTTTCGTAGACAGAAATTATTCTGGTAGAGTTCGATGTCATGGACGACATCGGATCGTCTGAAAAAGAATACGGAGCATTGATAAAAAAATGTTTGAGGTATCAATGGAAAGTGAAGTAGGTACGGAGGAAACGTTTACCAAGGATAGAAGGCGGAACCAACAAATCGTTTAAATTATAATCGTTCATGTTCACTTTCCACGCTGATATCCCTGGCGTACCATCTTGCCCTGGCCTGCCGGGAGGACCCATGTCTCCTACATTTATTCACATCGTCATCGTATCGTTTCGTGAGATTTATTAAGGATCGAAATAAAGTCAAGTTACCACGCAGTCCCGGTGGTCCCTGTGGTCCCTGTGGTCCCGTATGTCCCGGGTTCCCTGAAATAACAAAAGACACATCACATCCGGTTTCGTACAGTAAAACGTCGAACGCGTTGGCCTTCTCTCAAATCATATCCTATTCGCACGTACGTACACGTTTATGGTCGTACGGCATACATACCGTCCGTGCCGTTACGTCCAGGACGACCGGGAGATCCGTTCACTCCAGGTTTGCCATTTGTACCGGGCGAGCCGTCCAAACCGCTTCGACCGGGAATACCGTCGAGACCAGGTTCTCCCGGTATTCCGTCTCTCCCGTCGAAACCGGGAGGTCCTCTCTCACCCTTCATACCAGGCGGTCCCTGCGGACCGGTCATTCCTTGCAATCCAGGAAGTCCCGGTTCTCCAGGAGTCCCCGAACTTCCTGTCGCTCCTGGCAATCCTGGTGGACAATATTTCATTGATGACCGACAAAAGTTTTCAATTGCATCAAGCTAAAAGGCACAATATTTTTAATTAAAATTGATCGTCTATCATCGTGAGCCGATCGTCGAAGAGTGTAATGAATTATTAACCTGCACTCGAGTGTCCGCGTTCAACCATAGCCATTCGTTTCCCAGAGGAGTGATAGGAGACGACGATACGCCTTTATTCGTAGGAGGCGAGGTCACTTTTCTAGACTCCTTTGCCATATCTTTTTCCTGCCACATCTGCGACACAGATATCATATTCAAATCCCGTTGTACGATCAGGCTACGGATTTGTAAACGAAAATAACGTATGAGGACACGTCGGTGATGGTACGTACTCTCGATGTGTCTACGACTTTATTATCTTCGGTCACGGGCAGTGCACTGCTGCGTTTCCTCCTTAATAATTTCTCAGCCTCTAATAGGTCTTGGTTCTGCACGGCAACGTTTGTCTCCACATGGGCAATGTAAGTGTACAGGTACATAGACGTTAAGAATTGTACTAAGAATTGTGTCAGGATAAGAAACAAAAGGCTCCATGGTTGTAATATCATGCTTTTCTTCTCCATGATCATAAATTCCTTGAAACAAATAATTAATATGTAGTAATTCAAAGTGAAATGCTATGCTGTTCACTTACCAAAACAGAATTGTGAACCGAAGAGGCATGTATCCCTTATACGTGAAATAAATTAGAAAGAAGGGGAGACACCGAACAGATTCGAATTGGCTGATTGGTCGCTATTAAGCAATTTAATGGAGCAATAAACGTTTGTTACGCAGAATTTTCGTACATCTCGTAAGAAATAGAACAGAAACGATGCGAAAGACGAAACCCATCCCTGAATCGGTCCGACGTGAGATTGATGTACGATAAACGCAAACGCGAACGCAAACGCATGCACACGAAAACCTATATTTCAGCCGGCAAGTAGTGATATTTCGACGGCCACGCATGCGCGATTCGCGTTCGTCTATTAATAAGTAGATAAATAATAAAAAATGAAAAGGCTGTCGGCGGATCTGCCTGAAATTAAATGTCAAAGCAATCTTTTCTATACGAATAATAGATATGTACACATTAAAATCGTGGAAAATCCAATATATTTTATAGATTCATGAAATATTCAGGATTGTATATAACAGTTAAACGATGTTATCTCGTTTGCTTAGTATCCCCTTTGTCGCTAAGCAGTTTTATTTCTATATTATCACAGGTTTCTTTTATTTCCACGTTACAAGTATTGGCCTGCAACAATAGAACGGCTTTTAATTCGCTTCTTAATTTACAAATAAACGTTGGCTATGATTAAACGAAATATGTACCAGTTCTAGCGAAGCTAAGAAGTATCTGGCCACTTCAGACGGAGGTTTGCCTCGCACGATATTATCAAAAGTCGAATTCTCCTGCTCGTACTCTCGTAATGCGTCTATTATATTCGAAGTGTATTCGTGGATTCGAAATTCAGCTTGGCTCTCGCTGTCCGACAATCTAGGCTGCAGGAACGCATGCCAGTTCGTTACAGTCCGACTCAACTCTGTCCTGTCTTCGCCCTTAAAAATCTGTCTCATCTCCTCTTCGATCAACGTTTCGTAATTCGATAAAGAATTAGACGAATTGTTAGAAGAGTCGGGAGATACCTCGGTAGCGTTGCACGCATCGTTATCGTAAATCGACAATGGCAACGTGATATCTGCTTCAATTTCGCTCTCATTATTTTCGACTCTCTTATCTTGATCGTTCGACGGTACAAGAAAATCCAACGGTTCCGTATCCACGTCCATGACCGTTTCATATTGAACGTCGTCATAGGACTCGGTAGCTTCCTGAAGGCAAGTTCTATTACCATTGACATCCTCTGTCTCGAACGTGTTTAAACACTTGTCGAGATTCTTCATGAAATCTTCTAGTTCGTCTGCCAAAATAATTATATTTGAAAATACTTGGTAAATCGACGTCCAACATTTCGTCGTCTTACATTTTTTATCGTAAAGCGAACTTACGCTTCTGCAAACGTTCGAACTTCGGTTTCGGTGGCACGCGTACATTGTTTAATTCGGCCAGCGATTTCTCGCGCAACATGAACCTCGCCAAACATTCCGGTTTGCGATCCTCCGATACACGTTTACGCTTTCTCTAAACGGAAATTAATTTATCACACATCGTATGCGTTGCTCGAATATTCATCGACACCTAATAGCTATTTATACATACCATTCTCGAATCTACCAGAGAAACATACTCTGGTATTTTCAACACGCATGTATCGGTAGTGAAATTTTTCTTTACTCCTTCGGTCATCGACATCGGCTTCCAAACATCTTTACTCAGATCGGATTTACAACGTGTTGACGTTATTTTTGGTTTCCACTTGTTCTTCCGACTCTTTTTGTGAGCCGGTCTATTACGTTCTACTTGCTCGCCTATTTCAATCGGTTCTATATTCTCATCCTGACTCTTCGTTTCTTTCTCATTATCAGTTACACGTCTCGTGTTCCCAATCAAGGAATCACGACCATTTTCTACTGTATTTAACTCGATATGCTCTTCCCGAAGCATGTCTATTCCTGTAATGATCTCGTTTAAATTATCATCGTTAAAAGAAGAAAACTCGTTACAATTATTCGTCGTGTTTTCATTATTCTCTGTAATATTTTCTATCGACGAAAAATTGTGTTCGTCTTCGAACTCATCATGAATATCGTCATGAAGCAGGGTCGAGTTGTTATCGGTTTGAAACCTGATATCAGAATGATATCCTGAAGTTGCAGTACATGGAGTCGTTGGCTCTGTAAACATGGAAAAAGAATTTCTTTCTTCTCTAATGGGAGAACCCAGCATACAAGTAAAATCGTATGACGTCAGTTCATCTACAAGCATCCCATTTGTATTTACACATTGATTACATCTGAAAGTCGACACGAACCAATTAGAAAAAAGCTGAGCCTTAAGGTTGCTCAGGCTATGACAATGAATTTCTTTACCTGAAATCGTATTTCTTCCCAATCCCTTCTCCCGTGACATCGTACATTTTAATAGGAACACACGTTTGTGCCACGCCAGCTTCCAATTGGGTGAACTGGCGACTCAACAGTTTGATCTTCTTCTGTGCTTGAGGTTGCTCCTTCTTGTCGATATTCTTCACCCCAACATCGTTTTCCATATCGACCATGACAAAATCATCGAAATCCACGTGACTCTTCTTACTTTTTGCTTTATGCAGAGAATTCTTTTCGTCTGCTCTAATAGAAAAATAAGACCACGATTAAACACGACGTATCCACGACTTAACGCAACAAATACGAATGTTATTTAGTTACTCAGTAGCTTGTTTTAAAAGTCGGTACAAATTTTCAACTCTTCGCCCGTATACATTAGTAGAATTCTGAATTACCACTCCCGCTTCTCCAAAGTTTACGTCGCATGGTTCTTCCAGCAGGACATAATAATCCTCTAAAATCTGTAGCAATGGCAAAACAACATACCCCTTTCGTATTTGCTTATCGAACGTTTTATTATTATTATTATTACAAAAATGTTCATTTGTACCTGAGACAATGGGAATTTCCAGTCTGCAAGATCCTCGGCTGGTTTCAAAAGTTGCATGCTGACATCGCCCAAGGTAACCATTTTGGCTATCAAATATACATAATATACCTCTCGAGAAATGTTTCGTTGGTCATTGATGCGTAGCAATGTCTCGGTCGAAGTAAACAACAAACATGTTTTTAATAATAGCCACTGTAACTCTAACAGCGTCCATTGGCAAGGTTATTGAAGGTGAGCCATGGTGATCCCATAGATCTGGGCGATCCACTTGATCATAAACAAACATAAGGCCGGTATTCACAGTCGTTTTAAGCATTTCCCATCCCTGTCTAACCTATATTTCCAGTCCCTGGCTAATATTTAGAACAGAGATGCCAGTTTGAGGTTTGAGGACGGGAGCCACGGGAGCCACTTACGTATACTATCGCACTGCTTTGCACTGTATCCATGTGCTCCGAGCTCGGTTCAAGTTCGGCTTAATAGAGAGAGAGAAGACGAAACATCAGTCGTCGTCAGTCAGCAATGACGATAGAATGATGTTTCGCTTTCTCTCTCTACTAAGCCGAATTTGAGCCGAGCTCGGAGCAGACGGTTACGGTGCAATAGTATGTGTAAGAGGAAGGGGTGATTTTCGTTAGATCCCGTCCTCAAACCTCAAACTGGTATTTCTAATTCAGAATCGTTACTTATATTTTATATCAGATTTTCTCTCTGCTTATATATTTAATATCATCTTAAGCATTGCCTATCTCTGTCTATTCCATATTTCCTGTCCCTGTTTGTACAAAATATACGACCATAAAGTACAAGTTTCGTAGACCGGATAAATCCTATAAGATTCCAGCTTCGAACTCGCACGCGGCTCGTGTCGAAATTTCCAACCTCCAAACCGCGCTGCGGCTGTGCGCGGCGTGCGGCATTCTATATATATATATATATTAGATCTGAATCGAGTAGTACGCCAGTATAAAGACATCGTGAGTGGGACAATCGTATATCGTTACGATATAGATGTATCGTAATAAATAAACGTTTTTTTCATAATCCATTTACGTAACAGATCTTTTCCACGTTTTTGCTGGTCCGTCATGAAATATAACGTACGAGGAAACTCATGTTTTTGGAAATGTCATTGGCACGATTGTTTATCCACCATTTTGTGTTACTGTCGTCCTCAGAGCTTTTCCTGGTACCGTGGCCTATTTTACGATGAACTAGATTGACTTAAATTCGGAAAAATTGCCGAATCGGACAGAGGATTGTGGTTCGAGGGGAGGATCGTATTTAACGAGTTTCACCCAGTATTTTTAATGAACGTTCTTACGAACACTTGTGAAATCTCACCCCGAGTTTTGACCCAACTTTCCTGACTTTGGTCAAATGGCGATTACTAGATAAAACGAACAGTTTTCGCGTCATTCACCACGTAAGTTCAGTATTTTCACTATTGCCGTTGACTACGATATCCCTGAAAATTATTACATTGTGCCAGCTTCGAAAAACAAATCGTTCGGTCGTCGTTCGAAAGAATCACTGCAGGTTTTGTTTGGTACCCGCGCGTAGTGTCATTCGTCTTCCATGGTGTTGTAATTTTCGTGCTGTTTACGTTCGCTGCCAGACGAACATGTCCGATCGATTGAATTTTTCTTCCCGTAGGATGTCGGGACAGAGCGGAGGGCATCGTATACAATTGTCCAAGCTCAACGATCAGCTGACCTGCAAGTTGTGCGGTGGATATTTCATCGATGCCACCACCATTATCGAATGTCTACATTCGTGTAAGTATATTCTTCTGTCATTTCCCGATTCACCGTGTCGACAAAAGCAGAGATTAACGTTCAGATATAGTTTGTAGGAGCTGTATCGTCAGATATTTGGAGAACAATAAGTATTGTCCGATATGCGAGGTACAGGTGCACAAAAGTAAACCTCTGCTCAACATTCGTCCGGACCATACTTTACAGGACATCGTGTACAAATTGGTACCTGGATGTTACCAAAGTAAGTTGCTTCGCATTGGTCATGGGAACGTACGTTTCCACTTTGGAAACGGTCGATTAGTAAATAACGAGAAACGTTTATGCACCAGATGAAATGAGATGCAGGAGGGAGTTCTATTCGAAGCATCCCGAGGCGTGCGCCGAAGCAATGTCGCCAGAGGCGAGAGGAGAACCGACCGAGTCTCATATATATTCTCCGGACGAATCTCTTAGTTTATCGCTAGAATATTTTAGTCCATCCATGGATGCGAAAGAAGTAGCTGTGAAACCTTTGTTGAGGCGATACCTCCGTTGTCCTGCCGCAGTAACGATATTTCATTTGCAAAAACTTATACGAGCCAAGTACGGATTGACCGATGGACACAGAGTGGACATATTGTACAAGGAAGAACCACTCTGTAGCAGTTATACATTGATGGACGTGATGTACATCTACCATTGGAGGCGAGTAAGTGTCGAAAGTTTACGTCGCCCAACAGCATGCCATCTACGAAGTTCAGTTGTCTAAACGTTTTCTGTTTTATTCATTTCAGAAAGTGCCATTGCATTTAAGTTACAGAATATTCGAATCTTCTCCAAAACGAATAAAACTTTCGGAAGACAATGTCAATTTTACAACGTCTTTACTCAAAGCCGGGATCGATCCTGTCGAATCTAAAGAGGATAAATCGACGAGGAGAGAGTGGAAGGAGGTTCAATTGAAGATCTCTGAAACCGGTATAATGAGTATTACGGACATAACGGACCAACGATTTAAGAAAAGGATCGAGGAACCTATTACAAGCATTGAAACGATAAGTACTTCAGCGATCGAAGATAAGACCAGTAAAAAGAACACGTCCGACGTTGGTAGAGAGAATGAACGGCCCTCGGACAAACAGAGCATCAGAGATTGCAACGCTTCTTCGAAGTTCAACGAGCAGAGAAACTCGAATGAAACAGACGTAAGAACTTCGTCGGAAGAGATAGAGAATTTGATCAATTCTAAGCACGAGGGCGAGTCGAAGGTCCGACCGAACAACAATAACATCGAGGATAAAGCGATTTTACAAAAGATCGGTCAGTCTGAAGGACCGATGGACCGTGGGAATGAAAATGAGATTCATAATAATAACATTGAGAGGAAAGATCAAAGAGAGCCGTCAAAAAATAACAATATCATCGCGGAAAGCAAATTGGACAGTTGTAAGCACAATGCCAGGAACGAGGTCAAGTCGGCGGGCACAGGGTCAAAAATTAATGCACTAAGCGTGAAGTTACAGTTCCAACCTAAAACTGGGCAACAATTGAACAGTAATACTAGCAGCTGGAAGAAAACTGTGAAGGACAGGAAGGCGTTACCGCAATCTTCGAAAAAATCAGACGTAAAAATTGGTGATGGTTCGAGAACGACGGAGATGAAACATTCTGCCGAGATTGGTTCGAAACCTTTGACGAATAATTGCGGGATCACGTCGGACAAGTCTCCGAGGCAGAGATCTGATTGTGAAAATATGACAGAGCCTGTTCTGTCGACGCACCCGAGTACTTCTGCCAATTCTGAATCGAGAAAAACGGAAACTACCGTGAAAGCGACTCATGAGGACGGACGTTCGACCGAAACAGAAAAGAGTGCCGAGAAAAAATCATCGTCGGACGAAACTTGGACAGAATCATCGCAGAGAACGAATGGACAAGTAAATACAATTCCTCAAAAATCACCGTACACGCAAGTCGAACCGTTGACTAATAATAATCTCGCGTCTCTCAATCTCTCGTCATCCTTATCCGTGTCCGTTGGTAATGGAATCAATTCTGCTTCTACGTCCATGTTCCCGCCCACCGTTCATCACATGGTAAACAGTATAACCAACGCATTGTTAAAGAATTCGCTGAAAGGTCGAAAGGTCGCCCGTATGACGACGTCGCCGTGTCAGAAGTTGCCCGAGAATCCGATACCGACGTCCTCGATAACGGAGACTCCTCTAGCATTTACCGTACCCTCTGTCAACGTTTCTTCTTCTATGAAAAATAGTTATCCAAGTTTAAGTACAAGTTCCTCAAAGGAATCAGCTTTGAAGCCTTCGAGCTTGGAAATGACTGGCACGTATTCGGTACCTCCTTGTCCCGACGCTATTCCGATCTCCTTGATGAAATCGACCATCCGTAAGAACGAGCTGATCATGAAAGGTTCGAATTTGAATGAGATCTGCGCAAAAATCGGTGCCTCCGGTTCGAAGATCAACGATATTTGTGCCAAGATCGGGGAGAGTTCTAAGGAAAAAAGTAAAACGGAAGCGAGAATTCCAGATTTGTTAAAAATCGGCAGGAAGAATGGATCTTCGCCGATGGCTACCGAGCCTATCAATAAACAACATCAGCCCCAGCCTCAACCACAGCCACAACAACAACAACAACCACCACAGCAGCAACCGCAGCCGCAGCCACCACCACCACCACAGCCACAGCCACAGCCACAGCCACAACCACAGCTACAGCACGCGAATGTTCCAAACGTGTCCGTTTACGCGGCTAACAGTAGCGCAGCAGTCACGGCAGAGAGCAAGAATACTTATTCGAGCGTGAAGGACAGTCGTAGAGCTACCTCGGTAACGACGTCGCACTCTTTGCAGAAAGTTTCCGCTTTTTCTAAGAAACACGGTCAACCGATCGGCTACAAGACTCTGCGCGACCCCCCAAAATGCTGGAATCCTATACTCAGTAAAAGCAATTACATAACTGTTAAAAATCAGAATAGAGCGGCGCAAAATCAGTTGCATCAATCTGCGCTCTTCGACGGGAAAACGATCCAGTCTAAACCCGCGAAGATCTTCAAGATGAGGAACATGCCGAGATACTTGGGCAACCCAGCCTCCGGCGTGAAACCGATGTACGGGATCGGGAACGAGTCGAAAGAGAAGGAACAGTTGACCATGGCATCGACGGCGACAACGAATACGTCTACCAGTTCGAAGAACGGGAGCACGAGCATGATGAAGATAGATCCTAAAACCTTGTCTCCGATCGTGTCTACCGTGAACTCGCCCATCGTCTCGCCACCCCCGTACTCTCCCAGTGCGAGGAACTATTCGAGCTCTTCGTTCTCGAGGGACATTTGTAGAAGCACCGGTTCACCGATATCTCCGAAAAACTCTCCAGTGAACATGCTCTCGACGAGTCCCTTCATACCGTCGCCGACACCAAATATCAATCCTAGATTAATTTACACTCATTTCCCTCCGCCGTTCCCGGACGCCAGGTTTCCGAATCCGCTGATACGTCCGCCGATAGGAATCTCGTCCCCCAGTGCCTTCCACAGTAGTTTACCTCCCTCGATTAACAACATATATCAACGATCTAGTTATATCCCGCAAACTACCGGCTTCTCCTCGGTCTCGCAACAACCCCCGACAGTTCAGAGAATACCACCAAGTACATACTCCTCGCCTAAGTCATCTAAAACTACCTCTCTAACGGCTATCTCTCCCGCATCTTATAGCATGGTCAAATCCGAAACGCAAACGGTCGCGACGACGTCTCTCGAGACCAATAAGGTACATCTTCCGGAGAAAGCGTCCCAGGAAGATGTAAGTGCATTTAATTTATCTAAGACTGGAACTTTTTCTAACGCCGATATCCCGAAATCGGAGACGGTCAGAAATTCGAGATCGACGCCTCTGTCGCCCACCACGAGTGGACAGGGTAAGAATCCGGTGACTGCTAGTCCGAAAAAGTCAGAAACTCCTCCCGCGGTAACGGATCAGGATCGGGGCAAAGAGCGTACCGAGAAAGAGGCCAACTGTAAAGAACAGAATTCTTCGGAGGGACAGAACACGGAGAAGAGTCGAAAGGACGGAAAAAGTGACGATGTAATTAAAACGGAGAAGTCCGATGCCCGAGTCAACGGAGATCTCACCGACGAAAGCAAAGAAGAAACGACGTCGTCGGCGCCGTCGCCGTCGACGACGACAACAACGACGACGACCACCACCACCACCACTACCACTACTACCACGACCACCACCATGACCACGACTACGACCACGACGACGAAAGATAAGGTCGCGGAGGAGCGGAGCGAACAGAATGAAACGAAAGTGACAGAGGGAAAAGTTCCAGTAGAGGAGAAAGAGGCACCCAAAAGTGTAAATGAGCAGACTAAGGGACAGCAAAACAATTCTGAAACTAAGATCGACCAGGTGGAAACATAATTTTTGCATAAACTCATTCTAACTCGTACGATTCCGCGTATAATACGAAACGTACGTGCTCTACTTCATTTCGCGCGATAAATCCCCGTCGCACGTTGCAATTCTTCCCACGCATATTTCACGATATTCCAATTTTTCCATAATGAAAGAAATGCACGTTGTTATTTGAATTATTACAATTATTTAAGTAGCAACGCATTGAACATATTATTGAGACGTGCATGTATAATATGTTCAATGCATCGTCGATATGAAATCTTTTTTAATTTTACGATAAAGAATCGTGGCGATTAGAACCGCGCGGCATTGCTCGATTTGAATAAGAAGCTCGCTATTACTCGACGTTACATCCGGTCTAAGGACCGTGCAAGACATGGCAAGAATTACTATATAAATAAAATATTGGGATAACTGTTGCTTATGGATCATCTGACGAATGTTATCAGACATTTTCACACCGATTTGTTAGTTCGCAGTATTTATCGTATCTACGAGCAAATTCTATTATCCGTTTCTTAATGTATCTTACAATTTAGTCAACTAGATGTCTAACCAAAGCCTCGAGAATTAGTATCTAACGTTCCACATAGATTTAGTTGCGACACAGTCTTCTTCGATTGGCTCATTTTCCCGTACGCCCTTTTTTTCTTAATAAAAGAAAAAGAAGAAAAAAGAACGAAACAACTATAGAAAAATCCGAGGCCTTATCACAGTAATCTTGTAATATAAAGTAATATTAGGGTATCGAGAGCGAGGTGATCGTCGTTGTTAAATGAGGAAAAAAAAGTATTACATTATAAGTGATTTCTCTCTTTCCAGCTTGATCAGTTAACGATTCTATATACGTATGTAAGTATGTGTGTATGTATGCGCATCGATGGGTTTCATCGCACCGAATTATTAAAGATAACACGCATGGATTCTGTACAAGAATCCGCTCTTATAATTTTGAATAAGCGCTGGAAAGAAAGGAAGAGTTTATTGTATAGAAATGAAAATTTTTAATATCGGACGACCTTTTTTTCTTTTCAGATAAATTTACTTGTAAATAGTGTAAAATGTTTCAAAGAAATCTATATATATATTATATATATATCACGTACTAGGTATATTAAAAAAGAATTATCGATTATTAATATAATTTAACACTCATATTGTTAGGAGTTAAGGATGTAACGATAGTATTTTTTTGTCTAATACGAGGAAGCAATTTTTAGGGAAACCGCCTGATCGTAGAGCAAAAAACGACGTATTTTTAATAAGTTATTAGTTGTGTGCGCGCGCGACTCTTTTGTATACAAGGTGTACCTGAATGAGCGAGCGAATGGGAAGCTGAGAATATGTATGTACAAGCTTCGTGCGATGCAAAGTTCAACGCCATTTGGAATCCACTGAATGGGCCGAGAACAAAGTTTTTTTTGAGATGGTTTATTTATGAAAGAAACGTTGATCGTAGTTTTCTTTTTCCTCTTTTAATTCGTGTACGTGTTCTGTACGCATGCCTCGGTGTGTACGCGCGCGCGTTAACAATACGGTAATAATAACTACGTCAAGTAGCTGATGTTCTTTTAATTATAAAAATATAGTTGATTATATACTTTACACGATCTTTGTCGTTTGTATCAGATTTTACCGTTACACTTATACGTACAAATTTGGTTTATCATTAAACGATTACTATAAGAATTGTCAATGTGTAAATGTTGCCGTGCAGAAACGTCATTAACAATTGAATACAAATCGAACAATCGAACCACGCTAGACGTTAGCGAGCCTCTCCGAGTATCTGACTGCATCTTTAAGCTTGAACACGAGTTCCTGCAACTGTTGTATCGTACACGAGAACGTTACATCATCTATCGTTTCGTGTTTCTTCGTAGTAAATCTCACGTGATAAAGAGGTACACCCAACGAATTGCACGTGTTCAACTGAAAATTACAATCGGGTAAATGAGTATAGATAAGAGTGATGCGACACGTGATTCGGTTCGGTCGTGAAATTACCTTGACGCAATGATCTAAATGCCAATCAACGTCGATGATATGAGGCGGATTATTGCCTATCAATTCCAGCTGAGATTGTATTGCTGTCTTGTTCTGCACATATATTTCGCACAGCTTCTTTATCCGTTTCTCGTCAGTGTGTATAGAATTTAAAACGTTGTTTAAGCTCTCCTCGTCTAAATTGTGTCTGGCAGCTTCTATGAGTAAGCACGCCACATCGGTGAACACCTTTTTCGTTAAAATCGGTTTCGCATCAGATATTTTGCTGCTGCCTACAACTTTAATTAGTAATTAGTAGTAATTTATTTACCTCTCGTGTGCCAATCAAAATGAGATACTTACACTTCTCTACGGGGTTTTCGCATACATAAGATACGACCGATTCTAAAATTTGTTGAAAATGATCATCGTTGAAAATGCTTTTGTTCAAAATATCGCTTAGACCGTCACTGGTATCTTTCGGTAGTTCCATTATGATATACTGAATTTATTTAACACGATTACTTGCCAGCAATAATTAGAGATCTCCTGTCGTTTATTGTTGATTTCGTTTCATGACGCGCAATAATTTCACCCAACCGACTGTGAAATTAAACAATTCCCGATCAGATCGAGATACGACACACGACAACAATTGTCAGGCACATGATATATATGAACGGCATCCGTTCGTACGGTTTGGCCTACTGAATGAAATCCTTCCGGAAAAATTGCGAATCGCTCAACGATTGTTGACATACATTTGAACTCGTGAAATTTATTTGGATCTGCATGACAAACGATGCAATACCGGCGATGACGAGGATGACAAGTACCAACGTTACCAGAGTGAGCGATTTTTCTATCTTCTCCTCTTCGCGTGCTGACCCCCACTACTGTATTTTGT